TGCACAGACTGCCCGGAGACTGCCCCGCAGCCGCTCTTGTCAAAAGTAAAATGAACGAGAAGTTTAAACTAGGGCCTAGGCTTAGTAGCCTAGGCCCATCTAGGATGTCGAGTGGATCGTGCCTAGGGTGAGTGTCGAGAGTATTGAAAGGAAAGTTGGGAGAATGATGAAGAATGGTTTCACTATAGGTTTCGAAGTACATATAGCAAAGGAAACAAATAAGGTGCACCACCAAACAAAGTTTAAATAACTACACTAACTACAGCTACAGGCAGTTACATAATATAAGTTCTGACACTCCCCCATAACTGCCTGCAGCAGGAGTTTGTGCAGAATACAACCTGCAGGTGTACACATGCAAAATAATAAAAAACAAGCAACAGCAGGAACTGCAGGCGGGCTGACACAAGCTGGTCACCCCCTCCATCTCCTCACCCTCCTCCTTCCCCTCCCCCACACTGCTGCAGGAGCAGCAGAGAAGGGGGGAAGAGAGGAGAGGTGGAGGGACGGCTGCTAGTTGCCTCACACCCGCCACCCCGGTGCCACTCCCCCTGCTCCCCCACACCCTCACACCCTCCCCCCCAGCGGCAGCTGCAGCAGTGGGAATGAAATGAGGAGGAGGGGAAGGGAAGGAGACGACCCAACACTCCAACACCCGCCACCCCCATACCCTCCTCCCCACGGCTGCAGGGAGACAAAGGAGGAGGGGGTGGGCGGGAAGAAAGCCGCAGAGCGGCTAAACTGTGTCGGCGCTGATAGGTCAGGGGCGGCTGCAGGGAGAGCTGGCGCGGAGAGGCCCGTCGCGTGCCACGGGGCGCACGACGGGTAAGTTTAAGTTTAAGGGCCCGATCGTGTGCCTCGGGGCGCACAACGAGCAGGGCACCGTCGCGTGCCACGGGGCGCACGACGGGCAGGTTTAGGGCACCGTCGCGTGCCACGGGGCGCGCGACGGGCAGAGAAGGAGTCACACGCCAACCGGGGGCGGGACAAGGGAAAATCGCCACGCGCCCTAGGCGCGCGACCGGAAAATCGTAGCAGCGGAAGCATGAGGCGGGCCCACAGGCCAAGTCGTAACGCGCTCTGATAGCATGTCAAAAGTAAAATGAACGAGAAGTTTAAACTAGGGCCTAGGCTTAGTAGCCTAGGCCCATCTAGGATGTCGAGTGGATCGTGCCTAGGGTGAGTGTCGAGAGTATTGAAAGGAAAGTTGGGAGAATGATGAAGAATGGTTTCACTATAGGTTTCGAAGTACATATAGCAAAGGAACAAATAAGGTGCACCACCAAACAAAGTTTAAATAACTACACTAACTACAGCTACAGGCAGTTACATAATATAAGTTCTGACAGCTCTGTCACACCAGCCCTGGCCCTCGCTCGAGCCCAGCACCAACGACTTCCTCGTTGTCGGTTACAGAGGAACTAATCACGAGTGCTACACTCTTACCTTCGTAAAAGCAAACTCGTGCTACGTCTGGGCAGCGAATGTGGAAAACCGCGGCAAGGCCTTCGAAGTGTTCCGCAACTAGCTGGCTCACACGCAGCGACAAACAAGGAAGAAACAAAAAATCTGGCAGACTAACGGCGCAAATGAATTCCGCAGCAACGAGCCGCATAACTTTCTCATGGACAAGCAGATCCAACACAACTCTCGCTCCCTACGCGCACCACAGCAAGGAGCCACCGAACGCACCAATCGCACGTTCATGACGAAGGTGCACGCATTGCTGAAGCATTCCGGACTTTCAACCAAGTACTGGATCTATGCGATGCACCACGTCGTGATACTACACAACATGCTCTCCACCACAACAACCAGGGGGGACCTCTCACCTCACGTTAAGTGGGACGGGAGGAAGGTCGACACCTCCATACTGAGGGCCTGGGGCTGCATGGTTCAGTACAGGCCAACCTCTGCAACTATCAGAAATTCCACCGACCGCGTGCGCTGGGGGATTAATATTGGCGTCAGCTATGAGTACAAGGGGTAGCTGATCCTGGACATGCAGTCCAACAAGATCGCACCTGTGCGAGACATTCTCTTCTACGAACGCCTCACCACTCGTGGTGAAGTCGGAGCTGCAGAAGAGACACACGTGCACAGACCTGGGTGAGCTGCGCAGTTACCTTGGCTTGCAGATCACACGGGACACAGCACGCCGCACCATCACACTGACTCAGTCACACGTGGTGCAGCAGGTCCTTCGGCGCTTCCGTTTCACCTGGTCCTCGCCACAGCACACTCCTCTGGCTACAGGTCACTCGCTCTCAGCTCCACCTTCGTATGAGTCCGTAGAGCCAAATGGTCCTTACCCAGAGCTAGTGGGCTGCCTCATGTACCTGATGACCTGCACTCGTCCTGACCTTGCGCACCCTCTTGGCCTTCTGGCTCGCTATGTGGCTCCTGGTCGGCACCAAAAGGTGTACATGGTTGCTGCGAAGAGGGTACTACGCTACTTGAGCAGTACATCGGGCATGGGGCTCGTGCTTGGAGGGCGGAGCGCAGTTGTCCTCACTAGGCACTCAGACGCTTCTTGGGTTGACGACCAGGCTACGTAGGGGTCGTCACATGGTTACACGTTCAGCCTTGGCTCTGGCTCTATTTCTTGGCGTTCTACACGCTCGTCTTCAGTTCTCAGCTCCAGTTGTGAGGCTGAGATCCACACCACAGCCATGGCTGCACAGGAGTTACGCTGGTTCACCTACCTGCTGACCGACCTGGGAGAGCGGCCTCGTTCTCCTCCAGTGCTGTACGTCGACAACAAGGCCGCCATTGCCTTGTGTGAGTAGCACAGACTGGAGCACAGAACGAAGCACATCGCTCTGCGTTACTTCCTAGCTCGAGAGTTGCAGCAACGGGGTCAGCTTCGTCTTGCTCACGTGGCCACTCGGGCCAACACTGCTGATATATTCACCAAGGCGCTTCCGTCTGGTGATCATCAGCGCTTTTGTACTTTGTTGGGCCTTGTGCCTATGTTTCCACACTTGCTGTAGACTCTGCTTGTACTATGATCTATATATATACACTTTCATGCTTGCTCTATCTAGGTAGTGATCAATGTGCTATTGCTGCATATACATCTTTGTATGTGAACTGGCCTTGTGGCCTCTTCCTTGTGCTCAGTATGTGTGGTGACTTTGTGATCCACCCTGAGCTGTGTTTTGTTCCTTTTCTTGACTGGTCTTGTGACCTTTGTTTGCTCTCGCTATCCCCCATTTCGCCTATGGGGGTGTGTAAAGTTATATACATTTGATATATATAGTTTGTCTAGGCTTTATGGGGGTTAGCAGCAGGGGTTACACTATTTCTCTCGACATTCTTCTTGTACCCTCGACATTCTTCTTGTACCCCAACCTTTGACCTAATTCAACATAGATTTTCTCCTCCTAAGTTCTAAGACCCCTCTGGGGTCCGCAAAGACGAAGCGGCACGAGCAGCACTAGTCTACACCTAGGCAGGACCTTCGCCTCTCGAGAAGACGATGTGACAATGTCGCCCTTGAGCAGCTACTTCAATGACTATCAACTTTGGAGTAATAACTTCAAACATTGCGGATAAAGATGCATAAATTTTGCAATATACCGTATGCTACATAAACATTTGCATTAGAGTTTAATAAGCGTCTTTATCAGCATCGATATTTTTTTTGCCACGTTCACATAGTAAATTCATCATCAGTCGTGATTTACTGTTGCCCATGCTCAACACTGATTGCACTTGTTACCTCTATGTGCAATCCTTGCCCCTTATTCCATGTAACACACATCAAATTTCCTTCATTGAATTGACATTGGTACGTTTGAAGCTGGTTTTCTCGTTGTCTGTTACAGCTCCATAACTCCGTTGCTGACACCTCTGGTTTGTCAGGGAAACCGAATCGCGGTGACCAACGGATCTCAAATATCTTCACTACCCCAAATTCCCGCTCTGCTAATGCCTGCCGAACTGGGCCCAATTTTGCTAGCCGCATCGAATCGTGGGCAGGTTCAACTATGTTCAGTCTCTTTGCACGGTATGGGCGAACACAGATAAGCGAGTGAGAGCGCCCTGGGAAATGTCGGAAACAAAGTTTCCGAAACGGCTAGCAATGGCAACTGGTGAGTTGCCAGGAGTCACGACAAGGACCGACATCAAAGACGCGAATGGTGTAACTTCATGCGAACCAATTTTCCTGTTTCCCGCAGCACAACTTTGCTGCTGCGACACCTCAGCGAGACCTTTCCAAATCGCAACAGCACGTCGCATCCATCCATCCCACCGTGACCCATCTCTCGCCCATTTCATTCCACGTAGCCTCGATAACTCCTTACTGCCTGGCCCGACTTGCTGGTCCTAAATTTTCATTAGGGAGGTCCCACCATCCAGCACGATTCACGACTGCATCACGGCTCGTCCTGACACAATTCACCTCAGCGCAAGCACCTCATGCGTTCCCTCTGTCCAACAGACTAAGGCGGTACTTTGGTTCTCTTTCGATTCCAAAAAGCATCCTCCAGTGCACGAGGCTTTGAATCACTTCGCAGCCATCACCCACTATTTCCCTGTAGGACCCTCGCACCTCAACGCACCGCTTGCAAAGAGCAGCAGCAGCAGCAGCAGCAGCAGCAGCAGAAGGAGCAGGAGCACGGGCAGTGATGTCGTTCCGAGCACCGCTGCTCAGCAGCGCGGCAGCGAGGAACAAGCCATCCGTCTTCCAGCTTTCCGTCAAATACTCCGCGGCTGGCGGCAATTCCGCGCCGCCAATCAGCCCGTACGGAAAGGGCAAGAAAAACAACTGGTCAGGATGCGGCCCGTTCGTCTGGGAATGTCTAGGAGGGAAGCCCATGCTGCTTATGATGCTCATAACCGCCTGCGTCGCGGGCCACGTGGCGATTAGCAGGGGCCGCCAGTCCGCCTGGACGCGACTCGCCAGCGAGCCGCAGATGATTCTTGCCGGCCAGAAAGCCCAAGTCGCAGTAGCTCTGTCCGGAGAATCTATGAGCGTTCGCGTCTCGGAGGATATGAAAGTTCGCGACTCGAGCATCGAGAGTACCGTCACCACGAACGGCGGTGTCGGTGTTGCGGAGTTTAAGGGACAGAGCACGGAAACCGACGAAGCTTCTTCCGCATCTTCCGCCGCAACAGTCGACGATGCACTCGAGCGGCAAGCATCGGAGGAAGGGACGGCGGATTACACGCCGCAAATTACGGCGGAGGCCGCGGAGGCAGAGGAGCCGCAGCAGGGGGGTCAAGCCGCGGCGCAGCAGCAGGCGGAGGCGGAAAAGCAACGGTACTACACGGTCGTTGGCGGGAACAACACGTGCATCGCGGAGGACGAGTGGAAATGGAATTTCCTGTGCGCTGCGGCGGAGGCGAAGGCGTTAAATCGCGTTTTAGTTATCCCGCTAATGTACTGCTTTCCCGGAAGAGGCGGCGACCGCGTGGAACGGCCCATGGCGCTTTACTACGACATTGAGAAGATGAAAAGGTGAGGACCGGGAAAGGCGGGAAAGGGATGGATGGGGAGGAATGAGAGGTTTGTGATTTGCATTGATAGGCGTGAAGCGGCGCGTGGCGCTTCAGTATGGTATGCAAAAGTTGAAAGAGTGGGGAACTGGAAAAAGAGGGAGGTCTGAGGGGACGGAGTCGAGAGAGAGGCTCGCGACACGACCTGATATGCGATTAGTGGCTTATATCGCTTAGTTATAACGTGGAAGGAATGAGATGTGAGGAATGGATGGGGGGGGAAGGGAGGGGAAGAGGGGGGAGAGGGGACGGCGGAAAAAGCTCCATAAGAGGTACGAAAATTTTCTGTATTTTGCATCGTATTTGGTCGAGGGGTTTGAAAACGCGAGAGAGACGGTGATTCGCGTGAAGTGTGGTCGTATGCGTTTGCGGTGTTGTGACCACACCGAGGGTCGTTTAATCGCACCGGCCTGCGTCCCTACTTCGTATCTAAACTTCCCGCTATTGCTGGTCCTCCCATCTTCCTCTCCTTCTTTGATTCCCCACATGCGTGTACATCTCCTTTACCCTGCCATCCCCTGGGGTTCTCCCCCCCACCCCACGTCCCCCGTCTCCCTCCCCTTCCCCCACACCAATTCGTCCCCCCGTCTTCTACCCCACAATCAGTATCCAGCCACTCGTGAGCGATCTGGAATTTGACCTGCGATTCGGCGACTGGCGCTCCGGCGCGTTCCGCAAGCGGTACTCGGTGCGCGAGTTCGGGTCGCACGACCCCACGAGCGATTTGCGCAGCAATGCGGCCGACGCGCACCTGGTCGTGCGCGTTCTGCAACAGCAACAGCGCACCGCGCGCATCTGCAAGGGCGAGGTATGCGAGCAGGCTGGCGGCCCTCCGTTGTGGTGTGTGTGTGTGTGTGTGTGTGTGTGTGTGTGTGTGTGTGTGTGTGTGTGTGTGTGTGTGTGTGTGTGTGTGTGTGTGTGTGCGTGCGTGCGTGCGTGCGTGCGTGCGTGCGTGCGTGCGTGCGTGCGTGCGTGCGTGGGTGCGTGCGTGCGTGCGTGCGTGCGTGCGTGCGTGCGTGCGTGCGTGCGTGCGTGTGTGTGTGTGTGTGTCCTGAAAATAAAAAAATCAGCGTGTGTGTGTGTGAGTGCGTGCGTGTGCGTGTGAGCTTGTGCGTGTGTGGAAATTCAGCTTAGTAAGCCTCGTCTGCGAAAACGGCTGATTTTTTTATTTTTTTCCCCAAAATTTCAACGTGAGTCCTGCACAAGCTGCAACTCATGTTAGGGTTACAGGCTACGAATCAAGGTACGGGCAGGCCACGCATAGAGTGCCGCAATCATGGAGGCTCCCTTTTCCTTCCCTTGTCCCTCAGCAGTTGCCAACTCCTCCCTAATCCTTCGTTTGTCGCGCTGGCAGGACTCGCTGGTGCGCAACGAGAAGCTGGTGCAGGAGCGCAAGGAGCTCAAGGCGCTGAGCGCAGCCATAGTGTTTTCCATCGGCGGTGACTATGACGCGGTGCTTGTCAAGAGGGCGAAGAAGACCCTGTGGACCGGATGGTCCCACGTGGACAGGCTCACACGCCCCGCCGCGTGAGTGGTGTGTTTCTTGTGATGCTGCTGCTGCCGCTGCTGCTGCTGCTGCTGATGATGATAGTGTTGGTCGTATGCTGTATAGGTGCTCGCAGTTGCATATGGATGGATCCCTGCTTCCCTCCCTTTTCTGACGCTCATGCTTTCAGGCTGCTGAAGTCCCTCCCCCGCTTCATTCCCAAGGGGCGCCACGTGTACATAGCGTCGAACGAGCGCACGCCGGGCTTCTTCAGCCCGCTCGCCTCGCTCTACAAGATCCACGTGCTCTCCGACTACCGCCACCTCTGGGCGCCCGGCAGCGACTGGTACAACGACTACAGGGACGTGCTTGCTGCGCTGAGGATGAGAGGCGCTGATCCTCAGTTCGATATGCATATGAAGGTGAGAGCGGGGATAACTGGTGAAGATTGGAGGGGAATTGGCAAGGCAAGGGATTGGAGGTTTTCTGGAGGGGTGGTGATGAGGGGAGTGTGGCTGTTGTGAGATGCAGTAAATTGCGCTATGGCTGGTTGCTGTTTGAGATATGATCCATTGGAGTGTAATAGGGCGAGAGGCCGACCTACAAACAGATTCATTTACTGCATTTTGTTTCTAATGAGGCTCCCGCCTGTCATGGTTATGGTACCTGTTTTCGAATGGTTTATTCCGTTCCTTCTTTGCTTGTCTTACGTTGTGTTATCAACAGTCGATTGTCGACCGTCTTGTTATGAGGAGGGCGTCAATGAAGGTGGATACGTTCAAGGACATCGTACCCCTGAACCACTCTTAGTCATTTCCTGTTTCCCTAGTCACCCGTGTGCCCTCCACCATTCAGGGTGGACCTTGGTGACATAAGGAAATTAAATAGAATTCCAGCTTTGCATTCTGGATGAATATATTAGTTTCTGTCAAGTAGGCTGTTTTGTTTTTCAGCTTTAGAAGCTTTATCTTATCTTCTGCTGTTTTGCATGCTAGGACTTCGGTACACCGCATTTAGCTTTAAAACGTGTCCTCGATGAATTGATAACGGATAATCCGTGTACCACGTGTCTTCCACTCAAGACTTTCTTTCCACGCATTGCCTAGCTGGCACGCAGCATGTGAGTCTTCGCAAGGCACGAGGATATGCGACCCGACACGCGTCTCGGCCACGTCGCAATTTTCGTGTAGTTCTGCTGCTGTACATTTCCATCCACAATTCTGGAGGATGACATAGTTGCTCGACATTGCAGGCTCTGGGGACGAAAACGATGGCGGAAACCAACGCCAAAGAAACCAAGATTTCCAGAATGCACCATTCCTTCATAGATTTCCTTCGAGCAAATCTGTCTTCTCCCGCAATTGGCACGTGATACTCGAATAATTTTGAGATCGTCCTTATCTCTGGTGTTCGAAACCGTTCCTTGTTTATTGGAAATTGCAGACACCAAAGCTCCGCGCACTTCTTAGGATCCGGCTCGTTCTTTCTAAGACCGCAGCCAGCATGCCAGCCAACGCAGCGCAGGCAGGGGGAGGAGCAGCGGGTGGTAGATCAGGAGGGGCCGCTGGTGGGGCGGTAGGTGTGGGTGCATTTGGAGCTTCGGCTACTGGTGGTACTAGACCGGCGACTTCACCTGGAAGCATCCATTCTCCAATCCGCGACGCGGCGAGCGGGCAGATCAAGGGCATGGAGAGCTTTGCGGAGCGCAAGGCGGGCCGCGGGCGATTCATCGTAATCTCGCTGATCGCAGCAACAGCCGCCGCGGCGTGGATAACTAACTACACCGCGAATTCGCGAGGCCAGCCCGTTCCCACGGTGCCTAAGGAGAAGGATAAGGACCAGACGCACCATCCGGAGGGCCCGGTGATTAAGAACGCGCCTAAGCACGTAGTGGCGGGACCTGGCGTCACGGGGCATAACGAAGCGCTGAAAGGGAGCCTCCCCGAGTCAATAAATATTTCCAGGGACAGGGGGTGATTGGTAGGGTGGTGGTGAATCTGAGAGGTGGGATACGGAAAGTATTGTAAACTAGCTCGCCTCAAAATAGGGAGGTGGTCTGGCTGGGTGGTCTGGCTGGTTGTTGGGCACATGCAATTTCTGGGCTGGAGGAAGGAGATCACGTTTCTGGTGATGCACATATGAGGGTGTAAATATTGGTTTGAAGGATGTAGTAATCAATGTAGGTATGTACATTTGTTTGGTGACTGGTGGTGAAGTTGTTTATAACTACTCACAGTGGACAAGTGAGAAAGCCCATGTGTGAGAATGTCCATATACAGTAAACACAGTATCACCATTCCGGGAAAAACCAACAAAACGGCACAAGGCATGTATTGCTCTTTTCTTAAAGCCAGCAGCTAAAATAGTGACCCCCCCCTTCAAGTTGGGTCCAACTTGAAAACGGAAGTTTTGGGAAAGTTGGAAGTTACGTGTGAGATTTTCTTACAACACCAGAGTTTGCCTCAAAGTGAAGGGGGAACGATTGGATCATATTTATGAACTCTGATTGGTGACAAACTTTCTCGCACATACATGTGCGATTTTGGCGCAAGGCTGCACGACGTGCAAAGCTTCCAATCGTTCCAGTGAATGTACCAGAAGCTTTGCGTAACGCAACGACACAAGCAGTTCCGACAACCCACACACATGCAACAAGAATGTTTAGGTGATCCAGAGCTAGTCGACCTGTGAGACCAGTGCAGCGAAGGACATGCGGCCTGCTCTTTTAGAATAATATTAACAAGGGGAGGGGAGGGGACGGTAGTGAGGAATAACGACGGGAAAGATCAAGGGCGAGAGGAACAAGGACGGGAATGGAAGCGGAGATGGGAAGAGCGATGTTAGGGGAGCGGAGAGAGGAAGAAAGACGGGAGGGGAGCGGAGACACCGAGGGCGAAGAAAGGGGATGGGAGAACAGCAATAAGACGCGAAGGTAGGGGAGTTCTTGAGGGCGACGAGACGGGATGGAATAAAGGTACGCTGATCGAAAGGAAAGGGTGATGGCAATATCGTGGGGAAGGGAAGGGAGGGGCGATGGCGCGGGTAGAGAGGAGCGCGATGGCGACTACTCGAGAGCGTTTCGTGGTGCCGACAGTGACAGGAACCGTAACGATCGCGAGAAAGGCGAAAGAGCACTTCGCCGGAAGGCAAGCATATATATAACGCCGGGACAGAGCGAAGAAGAGAGCGAGGGCAATGGGAGAGAGGGCGACGGGAGAGAGGGCGACGGGAAGGGCGCGGAGAGAGAGAGCACGACGGGAAGGGAGGGGCGAGAGAGAGGGCGACGGGAAGGGAGCGGAGAGAGAGAGCGTGATGGGAAGGGAGGGGGGAGAGAGAGGGCGACGGGAAGGGAGGGGAGAGAGAGAGGGCGGCGGGAAGGGAGGCGACGGGAAGGGCGCGGATAGAGAGAGCAGGACGAGATGAGAGGGGCGAGAGAGAGAGGGCGACGAGAAGGGCGCGGAGAGAGAGAGCGCGATGGGAAGGGAGGGGCGAGAGAGAGGGCGACGGGAAGGGAGGGGAGAGAGAGAGCGCGATGGGAAGGGAGGCGACGGGAAGGGCGCGGATAGAGAGAGCGCGACGAGATGAGAGGGGCGAGAGAGAGGGCGACGAGAAGGGCGCGGAGAGAGAGAGCGCGACGGGAATGGAGGGGCGAGAGAGAGGGCGACAGGACAGGAGGGGAGAGCTCGTAAGCGATGGGACGAAATGGGAAAAACGGGGTGGGAGACGAGAGAATGTTTCGAGGCAAGCGCGAATGCGAAGAGGTGGGTGATGGGTGGGGGGGGACGGAATAAGGCCGCCGCGAGGGCAATTCCACGCGAATGTGAAGGTGATGAGCTGAGCGACGAAAGGGCGTTTCGGCGGCGAGCGCGTTCAACCGAAAAATCTCGAGGCAAGTATCGCTACGAGACGCGTAAGATCCCTCGTCACTAGGCCACGAATAGAAGGATGTGGATTAAAACCGAAATATAAAATAGTGAAGGCGGATCCAACTTGAAATCGTGCGCGGAAGAAGCAAAACTGGAACGACGATGGGCTGTGTTAAACACTGTTCCGAGTCAAACTCATATCATATAGCTTGTCTAGGCTATAGTGGGGTACACACTATGGGGTACAGTTTCCTAGGGTTTCCTACTTGTACCCAACCTTGTGCTAGTTCATTCATCCCTCATTTCTTCACATGGTATAGAGCAGGTTCCCTAGTGGGAACGCTTCCTTGGGCCCACCACAGAAATATTTTTTTCTGACCGGAGCGCCAGTCGCTCCTGCCCGAGGCGCGCCTTGTGGGCCGCCCTTCTGTCGAGCTCTCTTAGAGGCTCTTCTCACGGCCCCTCGTGCTGCCCCTAGCGGCCCCGTCGCCGCCCTTCCAGGCCCCTCGCGACCCCTAGCGGCCCCGTCGCCGCCCCTACGCGGCCCCGTCGCCGCCCCTAGCGGCCCCGTCGCCGCCCCTAGCGGCCCCGTTGCCGCCTCTCTCCCTACGCGGCCCCGTCGCCGCCCCTACGCGGCCCCGTCGCCGCCCCTACACGGCCCCGTCGCCGCCCCTAGCGGCCCCGTTGCCGCCCCTACGCGGCCCTGTCGCCGCCCCCTAGCGGCCCCCGTTGCCGCCTCCCTCCCTACGCGGCCCCGTCGCCGCCCCTACGCGGCCCCATCGCCGCCCCTAGCGGCCCCGTCGTCGCTCCCCTCCCTGCGCGGCCCCGTCGCCGCCACTACGCGGCCTCCTCGCCGCCCCTACGCGGCCTCGTTGCCGCCCCTACGCGGCCCCGTAGCCGCCCCTAGCGGCCCCGTCGCCGCTCCCCTCCCTACGCGGCCCCGTCGCCGCCACTACGCGGCCTCTTCGCCGCCCCTACGCGGCCCCGTCGCCGCCCCTAAGCGGCCCCGTAGCCGCCCCTAGCAGCCCCGTCGCCGCTCCCCTCCCTACGCGGCCCCGTCGCCGCCCCTAGCGGCCCCGTCGCCGCCTCTACCGGCCCTGTCGCCGACTCTACCGGCCCCTTCACCGCTGAGCTGCCCAGCAGCTGAGCAGCCGAGCCACCAAGCCGCCGAGCCGCCCAGCAGCTGAGCCGCCCAACAGCCGAGCCGCCGAGCCGCCCAGCAGCCGAGCCCCCGAGCCGTCGAGCCACCCACCGACCGAGCCGCCGAGCCGCCCGACAGCCGAGCCGCCCAGCAGCCGAGCCGCCGAGCCGACCAGCAGCCGAGCCGCCGAGCCGCCCTGCCGTCGAGCCGCTACTGTTCCTACCAGCGCGCCCCGGCCCTACTTACTCGGACTGGTGAGATCACTCCCTGCTAGGCCATTGCAGTCATGGCTACCCCCAGTGTCCTTACCTTAAATGCTGAGGGTCGTGCTGTTGACTTTGAGGTCTGGGTTGATGACCTCTAGCTGTTCCTACAGTGCGATAGGGCAGACGAACTCTCCTGTTCGATCTCACCTTTGGTGCCTCTCCTACCCCGCCTGCTACTGCTCACAGCACTGTTCGCTCACAGTGGGCCCCACACGATGCTGCTGTCCGTCTTGCTATGCGTCACCACTTACCGACCATTGAGCGTGTGCACTTTAGCCAATACAAGAGTGCTAAGACCTTGTACGACGCTGTAGTTGCACGCTACTCTTCCCCTGCCACTGCTGCTCTTAGCCGCCTCATGCTGCCGTACCTGTTCCCTGACCTTGCTGCCTTTCCCACAGTCGCTGACCTCATTACGCACCTTCGCACTAGTGACACTCGCTTCCGCGCTGCGCTTCCTGCTGAGTTCTGTGCCAAGAACCCCCCCCCCTATATACGTCACCCTCTACTACATAGTCACCCGGCTCCCTGACTCCCTTCGCTTAGTCAGGGACCACTTCCTCTCAGTTTGCCCCACCACACTCACTGTTGACCTCCTCGAGGAGCGCCTCCTAGCAGCAGGGAAGAGCATAGTCGCTATAGGAGCCTCTCGTGGTGACCCTCGCACCCCCGTCTTTGAGGAGTGTTTCCCTTCCCCCCTCTTGCCCTCTGTTGCTTCTGCTGCTGCGGCCGACCTCGTTGGTTTCGAGTCGGTCGGCGCTGCGTCTACCCCTAGCGGGAGACGCCGCACCGGCAAGAGAAAGGGGGGCAAGGGCGCTGGAGGGGCTGGCGGGGGCGGTGGAGGTGGTGGTGGAGGCAGTGGAGGGGGTGGGGGTGGTGGTGGGAGTGGTGGCGGGGGTAGAGGTGTCGGTGGCAGAAGTGGAGGCGGAGGAGGCGGCGGCGGTGGCGGAGGGAGCGGAGGCGGCGGAGGTGGCGGAGGCGGCGGAGGTGGCGGAGGCGGCGGAGGTGGCGGAGGCGGCGGCGGCAGCGGTGGAGCTAGTTGCGGCTCTGCGCAGAGGAGTGGGTCCGGTAGTGGTCCGCGCCAGCAGCAGCAGCGCAGTCGTGAGACCCTGTCCCCTTAATACCGTCTCTTCCCCTACCGCACTGCGCCCCTCCCCCCACCGCCGCTCTTCCTTGCGCCAGGTCCTCCCTAGGTAGACCCCCTCCCCCCTCAGGGTCCTGCCCCGTAAGGTGTGTCTCGGGTAGACGCAGTCGAGCCTGTCGAGGTAGCTGTTGACTCTGGTGCTGCTTGAGGTGCTGAGCCTGCGGGTGCCGGGTCTGGAGGTGCTCAGCCTGAGGGTGCGGAGCCTGGGGGTGCTGAGTCCAGGGGTGCTGAGCCTTGGGGTGCTGAGTCTGGGGGTGCTAAGTCTAGGGGTGCTGAGCCTGGGGGTGCTGAGCCTAGGGGTGCGGAGCCTGGGGGTGCTGGGTCTGCTCGTGTGGCCTCTCGCGGTACTTCGTCGAGGCGGGAGCTACTCTCTCCGCAGGAGCTGCGCGAGTGGTTTGCCCGGCGCTGGAGCCGTGCTGCTGGAGCTGGAGGTACTACTGTTGCTGCTGGTCCCGGAGGTGCTCGTACTGGCGGTATTGGAGCTGCTGGGACTTGGGATGCTGCTGGGGCTGCTGGAGTTGGGGCTGCTGGAGTTGGTCCTGCTGGAGGTACTGCTGGAGCTGGTGGCGGTACTGGAGCTGCCGGTCCTGCTGGGGCTAGTGCAACTAGAGCTGTTTGAGTTGATTGAGCTGGAGCTGCTGGGGGTGTTGGTGCTGGTGGTTCTGCTAACACTGGTGCGTCTGAGGGTGCTGGAGTTGGCGCTGTTGGAGCTGGAGGTGCTACTGGCGCTGGTGCTGCCTCTGGGGGTACTGGTGCTGTTCCTGCTGGTTCTGGAGGCGCTGCCCGGCCGAGGCCGTACTTCGTTCCGCTCCTCGAGCAGGTTCTTGGTCTCCCGCCCTCTACTGGTCCTGCTCCTCCCTTAGCGTGTCCACAGCCTGTCCAATCGCCGTCACAGTTACAGCCCGCCTCCCCCCTACCTGCTCCTTCTCCCTACACTGGTCCTACTGGAGGTCTTGCTGAGCGTCGTGAGCCTGCGTCTCGTCCTGCGTCGCCTCTTCGTGCTGCTCGCACAAGTCGTCATGCTCCGCGTCCGCGTCCTCCTGCGGTCCCAAGCACACACGAGATGGCACTGCGTCCCTCCACTGCTCCTCTGCGTGTCCCGTTGCCGTCTCCTCCAGAGTCCTCTCTTCCTTTTCTCCCTGACCCGGAGTCTGACTCTCTTCGTGCTGCCAGTCCTGCTGTCACGCGTCTCCTTGCTACTGTTGTCACTGACCCTTCCTTTGAGTCCACTGCTGCGTCGGCCCTAGTTTCTGAGCTTGTCGACTTTGCTGCTCGCTGTCGTCTGGACTTCGCTACTAGTCTTGTTGCTGAGTCTGAGTCTGTCTGTCCTCCGTCCGTCGGGGGTGAGTGTGCTCTTAGCAAGGACGTCCTTGAGGACAGGCAGGAGGGGTTCCAATGTTTTGTTGCTGCTTTACCTCATCTCGTGTCCACGCTGATTGCCTCTGAGGGAGACCCGGATGCACCAGACATCCCGACTCCTTGATCGTACATTGAGGCTATCGAGGGTCCCTACTCCTCTCAGTGGCAGTCAGCCATGGACACAGAGATGGCTTCCTAGAAGTCCACAGGCACCTACGTCGACGAGGTTCCCCCGCCTAGGGCGACCATCGTCAGTGGCATGTGGATTTTCAGGGTGAAGCGGCCGCCGGGCTCTCCGCCTGTCTTCAAGGCGCGTTACATGGCTCGAGGCTTCAGTTAGTGGCAGGGAGTTGACTACTTTCAGACCTTCTCTCCCACCCCAATGATGACCACTCTTCGGGTGCTGCTGCACATAGCCGCTCAGCGCAACTACGAGCTTCACTCTCTTGACTTCAGCACAGCTTTCCTGCAAGGCAGCCTGCACGAGGAGATCTGGCTGCTCCGCCCACCTGGCTTTACTGGGTCGTTTCCCCCTGGTACCCAGTGGAGCCTCCGGCGGCCAGTCTACGGTCTCCGCCAGGCGCCCCGTGAGTGGCACGACACACTGAGGACTACTCTTGAGCTCTTGGGTTTGCTCCTTCTACAGACGGCCCGTCGCTCTTTCTGCGCACCGACACCTCTTTGCCGCCGTTCTACATCCTCGTATACGTCAACGACTTGGTCTTTGCCACTGCTGACACTGCTGGACTCGCCCACGTGAAGTCCGAGCTGCAGAAGAGACACACGTGCACAGACCTGGGTGAACTGCGCAGCTACCTTGGCTTGCAGATCACGCGGGACAGAGCACAGAGCACCATTACCCTGACTCAGTCACACATGGTGCAGCAGGTCCTTCAGCGCTTTGACTTCACGTACTCCTCGCCTCAGGCCACTCCTCTGTCTACTCGCCACTCGCTCTCAGCTCTGCTTTCGGATGAGTCCGTAGAGTCGAGTGGCCCGTACCCAGAGCTTCTTGGCTGCCTCATGTACCTGATGACCTGCACACGACCTGACCTTGCATACCCTCTTAGCATCTTGGCACGCTATGTTGCTCCTAGGAGACACCGAGTAGAGCACATGGCTGCAGCAAAGAGGGTGTTGCGCTACTTGTGCAGTACGTCGGGCATGGGGCTAGTGCTTGGAGGGCGACGTCGAGTGGTCCTCACAGGTTACGCAGACGCTTCTTGGGCTGACGACCAGGCTACGCAGCAGTCGTCACAGGGTTACACCTTCAGCCTTGGTTCCGGCTCTGTTTCGTGGCAGTCTACCCGCTCGTCTTCTTTTCTCGGCTCCATCTGTGAGGCTGAGATCTACGCCGGGGCCATGGCTGCACAGGAGCTACGCTGGCTCACCTACCTGCTGACTGACCTAGGAGAGCCGCCTCGTTCTCCTCCAGTTCCGTATGTAGACAACAAGGCCATGCTGGCCTTGTGTCGGGAGCACAGACTGGAGCACAGAACGAAGCACATTGCTCTCCGCTACTTCCTTGCTCGTGAGCTGCAGCAGCGTGGTCAGCTGCGCCTTGCTTACGTGGCCTCGGAGGCCAACACTGCTGATATCTTTACCAAGGCACTTCCGCCTGGTGATCATCAGCGCTTCTGTACGATGCTAGGTCTTGTGCCTACTTGGCCTCACTTGCTCACTTCTTGACCTTGCTTGTACTGTGCTCTTTCTATACTTGCACTTGCTTGTTTACCTTTATATATGATCTTGCATGTGAACTGGCCTTGTGGCCTTGCTCTTGTGTGGTGACGTTGTGATCCACCCTGAGTTTGCTTTGCTTTGCTTGACTGGTCTTGTGACCTCTTGTTCTCCCCCACTTTGCCTATGGGGGTGTGTCGAACTCATATCATATAGGTTGTCTAGGCTATAGTGGGGTAGACACTATGGGGTACAGTTTCCTAGGGTTTCCTACTTGTACCCAACCTTGTGCTAGTTCATTCATCCCTCATTTCTTCACATTCCGGGCATCGCCCTTCCACAGACTGAACACAAGTGATTGTTCCCGCCAAAAAAAAAAAATTCAGATCGTGCTCGCGCGTTCGCATTTTCTGCATGCGACATTTGCACGACAGTTTGTCGTGCGTTTTGATGGTTGGACCTTACTTCGACTTTCAAGCTGGGCCTGGGTTCCACATATGCTTACTTCAACTCCATTCACGTAGCTTGCCTAACTCACGGAGCTTGCCTAGCTTAGAATAGCCAGTGACAAGGGACTAGGCTGATGCGGCATAGAAATGAAATTATCATTAGATTGTTTGTGATACTTCGTCGCCGTTGCTGCGTAGTGATATTTTCCTCGCGATCACAGAGAACCCCATTCCTGTCGCCATTCCTCTCACCCCTCTCATCGCCTACTATGCTATCCTCGAGTTCGCCAAATCGCCCACCCGTCTCCCTTCCGTCGCGCGTCACGTTGCCATCTCGTCGCCCGTCCCGTCGCCCTCTTCGTCGCCCTCTCTCCCCTCCTCTCCTCCCGTCGGCCTCTCTCTCACCCCTCCCTGCCGATCGCCCTCCCGTCACTCGCCCCGTCGCGCTCTCTCTCTCCGCTCCCTTTCCGTCGCCTTCTCTCTCGCCCCTCCCTTCCCGTCGCGCTCTCTCTCTCCGCGCCCTTCCCGTCGCCCTCTCTCTCGCCCCTCCCTTCCCATCGCTCTCTCTCTCTCTCTCTCCGCTCCGCCCTCTCTCTCGTTCCTCCTTCGAATCGCGCTCTCTCTCTACTCCCTTCCCGTCGGCCTCTCTCTCCGCTCCCTTCCCGTCGCGCTCTCTCTCTCCGCTCCCTTCCCCTCGCCCTCTCTCTCGCCCCTCCCTGTCGCGCTCTCTCTCTCTGCTCCCTTCCCATCGCCCTCTCTCTCGCCCCTCCCTTCCCGTCGCGATCTCTCTCTCCGCTCCCTTCCCGTCGCCCTCTCTCTCGCCCCTCCTACCCTTCGCGCTCTCTCTCTCCGCGCCCTTCCCGTCGCCCTCTCTCTCGCCCCTCCCTTCCCATCGCGTTCTCTCTCTCCGCTCCGCCCTCTCTCTTGCTCCTCCCTTCGAATCGCGCTCTCTCTCCGCTCCCTTCCCGTCGCGCTCTCTCTCTCCGCTCCCTTCCCATTTTCCTCTCTCTTTCTGCTCCCTTCCCATCCTCCCTTCTCGCTCGCCTCGAATAGCCCTCCCGGCGACCTTCGACTCTCCCATCACGTATGCCCTCCTTTCTCCGTCGCCTCTCTCGTTCTCCCTCTTCTATCACGTCAGCGTGACCCATTCCGTACTCTGTTATTGTGTTTGGTTTGTTTGTTTTTCCTGTATTTCCATCTATTCTCGACACCCTCTCTCCCGCCGACTATCCTCTCTCGCGTCGCCCTCCCGTTTCCCGTCGCCCTCCCATTTCCCGCCCCCCTCCCGTTTCTCGTCGCCCTCCCTTTTCCCGTCGCCCTCCCGTTTCCCGTCTCCCTCCCGTTTCCCGTCGCCCTCGCGTTTCCCGTCGCCCTCCGGTTTCCTGTCACCCTCCCATTTCCCGTCGCCCTCCCTTCTTCTGTCGCCCTCCCTTTTCCCGTCGCCCTCGCGTTTCCCGCCCTCCCGTTTCCCGTCGCCCTCCCGTTTTCCGTCGCCCTCCCGTTTCCCGTCGCCCTCCCGTTTCCCGTCGCCCTCGCGTTTCCCGTCGCCCTCCCGTTTTCCGTCGCCCTCGCGTTTCCCGTCGCCCTCCCGTTTCCCGTCGCCCTCCCGTTTCCCGTGGCCCCGTTCTTCCGTCGCCCTCCCGTTTCCTACGCCCTCCCTTCCCGTCGCCCTCCCTCTTTCTCTTCATTCGCGTCACCTTGCCCATCATAATTTCCCCCCTAGTGCTGTTTTTCTCTTCTGTTTCCCGTTATTGCACCTCTCCCAGGCCTCAAGTCCAAGGCATCACATTGATCAGAGCTCTACTAGCTCTAATAACGTTCAAACACTTTCACTCTCATCACGTACATGTGTGTCTGCTTGGGATTTAGCGTGAGATGTTGTTAGTTGTGAATTTGGTGAAGTATTGGCTCTAGTGAATGCAGGAGTGCTCGTCGCTCAACTTTGCGCCAAATTCGCACATGTACATGTGAGAGAACTTGGCTGCCAATCAGAATTGACAATGAACTATCGTTCCTGGTCCAATAAGAAACTCGTCCGAGGGTCGGAAAAAAAAGCACACATACAGCAATTCCAACATTCCAAAACAAAACAAAAATACTTCATCTTCAAGTGGACCCAACTAGAGGGGGGGGGGTCACTATTTTGCTTGCTGGCTTTAAATCTATAAAAATGGTAGTTGCCTAGGCAAATATGCCTACGTTTTCAGCTATTCTAAGCTTGGCTAAACTAGAGACTAGAGTGGAAAGAAGTAATTGAACCCAGGTCCAGCTTGAAGTTGGAGTTGGGCCCAACGATAGCAATGATCGCCGTACACCCGTCGTGCGGGTGCATCATGTTGAATGCGACTCCTTGTGTAAGGCCTAGAAATTTCGTTTTTGGCGGGAGCCAATCAAATGGGTTCGATCTGCACACACGAAATGTTTGAAACAGTGCTTTGCAAACCCACCCGGGAAGATCCTTTCAAGCTGGGATGGGGTTCACTATTCTATATTCCAGTTTTAAGAGCATGCTCATATGAGTATTGAAAGAGATGTACAAAATAAGTCAATTTGTCACAAGCAAGTCAAATTCAGACACAATAAATTGAATCATAAATCATGTGAAATAGGCCAAATAATAATAGCATAATACAGCCTGTTACACGGCCTGTTCTGCTTTAAATCCTAATCAATTTGCTGAGTTGCTCTGTTGCTCCTCAGGATAACCTGAGGTTGAAGGTTAACGACAGTGTACATGCATGACAGTTGGAGAAAGATCAGGGGAAAGATTCGAGGAGATGGGAAGGGATGGGCAAGGATTTGGAAAGATGGGAACCGATGGGAAGGCAGTAAGAGAAAGAGCAGCAGGAAGGGAAGAGGCAAGGAGAGTGGAGAAAGAAAGAGGGCAGGCTATAGGCATGAGAAGAGAAGAGAGGCAAGACAAGAAGGAAAGGAGTGTTGCTGCATAATCGAGAAGACTCAGCATTAGATGAGAGGCGGGAGAGGAGAGGGGAGGCAGTTGGAGGGTGGTAACAGGGGAGGCGGGTACAGGGATGCGGTTACAGGTGATTCAGCTTCAAGCAAGGCGGTCGCAGGGGAGGCAGGGGAGGTGGTTACAGGGAAAGCGGTTTTAGGAGAGGCGGTTACAGGAAAGGTGGTTACAGGGGAGGCAGTTACAGGAGAGGTGGTTACAGGGGAGGCGGTTACAGGGGAGGCGGTTATAGGGGAGTCAAATACAGGGGAGGCGGTTACAGGGGAGTCAAATATAGGGGAGGAGGTTACAGGTGAGGCGGTTACAGGGGAGGCGGTTACAGGGGAGTCAAATACAGGGGAGGCGGTTACAGGGGAGTCAAATACAGGGGAGGCGGTTACAGGGGAGTCAAATACAGGGGAGGCGGTTACAGGGGAGGCGGTTACAAGGGAGGTGAATTACCGTCCTTGGGATCGTCGGTGAGGTCGTTGAATGTGCGAATGGCTTTGTGGGCCTTCTTGCCCAGCTCGTAGTCCACTATCACCTGGCATCCCGTGGTGTGTCAGGTGTGGGGGGGGGGAAGGGGGGGGAGATGGATCCTTGAGTCGACTCAAAAGTCAGCTCGTAGTCCACTATCACCTGGCATAACGTGGTGTGTGTGGGGGGAGGACGGGGGGGGGGAGGAAGGGGGGGGAGATGGGAAGGCACTTGGCACATGTGATGTGATTGTGCCTTGGCCTATCTTGCCTAGCTCGTAGTCCACTATCACCTGGAATAAACGAGGGGTGAGGAGGGGAGAAAGAGATGTGTGCATGTATGACGGCACATGGCACATCGCATGGCACATCGCATGGCACATCGCATGGCACATCGCATGGCACATCGCATGGCACATCGCATGGCACATCGCATGGCACATCGCATGGCACATCGCATGGCACATCGCATGGCACATCGCATGGCACATCGCATGGCACATCGCATGGCACATCGCATGGCACATCGCATGGCACATCGCATGGCACATCGCATGGCACATCGCATGGCACATCGCATGGCACATCGCATGGCACATCGCATGGCACATCGCATGGCACATCGCATGGCACATGGAATGTTGGGGCGCACAATTAGTCTACCAAACCCTCTCCATCCCGCAACCATCCCTTCAATCCCTTCAACATCCCTTCAACATCCCTTCAACATCCCTTCAACATCCCTTCACCATCCCTTCACCATCCCTTCACCATCCCTCCACCATCCCCTCACCATCCCCTCACCTGCATTTCCGAATCAAACTCCACATCTTCCTCCTCTCCCCCTCCCCCTTCCCCTCCCCCTCCCCCTATCCCCAGCGTCCGCCTCAGCGCCCGCATCTCCCTCACCCACGCGCTGCCCGGCCCCCAGAGCGCGCGGTAGTCGCCCAGCAAGTGCACGCGGTAGAGACGAGAGAGGGCAAGGAAGAACCCAGGCTCGCGCTCGTTGGTGGCAATGTACAGGTGGCAGCCAAGAGGGGCGAGCGAGGGGAGCTTTTGAATCAGGCTGGAGGTAGGGAGGGGGAGCGGGAGAACACTTTTGAGGCACATTAATGCGCGGAAGAACCAACCCCGGCTTGCGCTCGTTGGTGGCAATGTACAGGTGGCAGCCCAGGGGGGCGAGGGTCGGGAGCTTCTGGATCAGCCTGGTTGGGGGGGAAAGAGAGGGGGACGAGAGAGGGAGAGAGAAGAGGGTGGAGGAGTGGAGAGCAGGGTGCGAAGAAGGGGCGCTTGTGTCGCACTCCCCTGCCCCCAAAGCTCCCGGTAGTCTCCCAGAGAGGGCCAGGAAGAACCCGGCTTGCGCTCGTTGCTCGCGATGTACAGGTGGCAGCCCAGGGGGGCCAGGGACGGGAGCTGCTGAATCAGCCTGGGGGGAGGGAGGGGGAGGGGGAGGGCGAGAGGGAGGGGGAGGGGGACAGGGAGGGGGAGGGGGAGGGGGAGGGGGAGGGGGAGGGGGAGGGGGAGGGGGGGGGGGGGAGGGGGAGGGGGAGGGGGAGGGGGGGAACACTTTGGAGGAGGCGCCTCAATGGCCAGGAAGAACCAACCCCGGCTTGCGCTCGTTGCTGGCGAGAGGGAGGAAGAGAGAAGGGGGGGTGGGAGAGGAGAGCAGGTTACAAAGAAGGGAGTGGTGGCATGTGCGGCACTTGCTGCTGCTGCTTCTGCTGCTACTGCTGCTACTCCCCGAATAGCTGGAACAAAACCCCCAACACCTGTACACACACACCCCCCCCACCATCCCTTTCTCCTTCACCCCTTTCCCCCCCTCTTCAATTCAACAGCCCCTCGAACCCCGAATTCTCGTACGCTTCGGGCCGTGTGTCGCGGTCGAGGTGAGGCCACTTGCGCGGATCGAGCTTGTCTCCTCTGCGCACATGCACGTAGAAAAACAGACGCTCGCCCCCCATGGACGCCACTATTGCATCAATGATGCTCAAGAGGGGCGCCGTGGGGACCAGAATGGATTTGTCCGGAGTCACAGGGTTCTGCGGTGGGGAGGGGTTGGGATGGGTTTAAAAATGCGTCAAGCAAAGCACGTGCAGGTAGTTAAACTGACCCTCGCCCCCCATTGAAGCTGCTATGGCCATGACCCATTTAACAATGCTCAGCAGCTGTGGTGTAGGGACTGGTTTTTGAGCACCAACAATTCTCAAAAGCCAGCATGCTCAGCAGCGGTGGTGTAGGGGCCAGAATGAACTTTGTCAGGAGTCACGGGGCTATGCGGTGAGGAGGGATTGGGATGGGCTTTGAGACGTGTCAATCAAAGCACGTGCAGTATGGATAAGGTGGTCAGGTCAGAAGGCAAGGGGCTCTGTGGTGCGGACGAATTGGGGTGGGGTGGGGTGGGGTGGCAGGAAGAGGTTTGAAAGAACAGAAACGGTGATTTAGGTGAGAGGAGAATCGAGACCAGCAGAGCGAAAGCATGTAGAGGAGCGCGTAGCATGCAGCAGGTAGCCACAGAGGTCGTCCCCTCCCCCCCATGGACTCTCAGCAGCCGTGCTGTAGCCTGTAGGGACCACAGTGGAGAGGTAAGGAGGCAAGGGGCTCTGTGGTGTGGATGAATAGGGGTGGGGTGGGGTGGGGCGGGGCGGGGCGGGGTGGATGAGAGTCGATGGATTGTGGAGAGTTTGACAGTTCATAGAGTGGATTCTGGGGTACTAAACTGCAATTTCCATGGCATGTAATCAAGGTCGCAAGCTAAGCAGGCTTAATAATAATAATAATTATTATTATTTTGGGGGGGGGGGGGAGGGGGTGGGGGGGTGAAAAGGCGGAATTACGACACATTTTGAAGAAATTTCTTGAAACGTGCAGTGAGGGTGGGCTTTTGATGACTGCGTGCCTCAAGAATCACCTCACCTCACCTCACCTCACCTCACCTCACTGTAACTTCCATCGCAGCTTATGAACCCGTACTGCCTCTCGTGAGCCTGTCTTCCAGCAAATTATCAAACCTGTTGGACCTCCCAAACACTCTCAACCGCAACGCACCTCGCTGTAACTTCCATGGTAGGTCATGAACCCGTCCTGCAATCATTTCTTTGGTGCCTCACAAATCAACTCACCTTTCTGTAACTTCCATTGCAGATCACTGAACCCCATACCGCCCCCCCTCCTGCACCTCCCATCTTCAGTGAGCCACCAAACAAGCCCCCAATAACACCAGCTCACCTCGCTGTAGCTTCCATTGCAGATCACTGAACACATACCGCCCCTCCTGCACCTCCAGTAACCGCCCCTCCTGCACGTGCTTTCTTCAGTGGGCTACCAAGCACACTCCCAACCCAACAACACCAGCTCACCTCGGTGTAGCTTCCATTGCAGATCACTGAACACATACCGCCCCTCCTGAGGCTGCCGAATCAGTAGAAACACGCCCCTCTGCTGCTGCTGCTGCTGCTGCTGCTGCTGCTACTGCAGCTAAAACCCGAAACCTGACACACATGAAGGCTGAAAGCGCTGATTCACTTTCGAGTCGACTCATAAGTCACCCGAAACCTGAGGCACATAAAGGCTGTGTTTTGAGGCGCCTCAAAACACACCTCAATGCACGCGGATTTCATACGGAGGGGGTTTTTGAGGCGCCTCAAGAGTCACCCGAAACCTGCGGCGTATGAAGGCTGAAAGCGCTGACTCACCTCGGTGTAGCTTCCATTGCAGAGCATGAACCCATACCGCCCCTCCTGAGGCTGCCGAATCAGCAGGAAGACGCCCCTCTGTTGCTGCAGCTGCTGCGTTGAGTGCCCTTTTCCCACCCCGTGGTACCCTATATCCATGTGGTCCCATGACTTGAACCGCGCAAGGAACGCTGTGAGGGAGATGACTGGCTGGTGGCTGAGGGTGGGGCGGGGTGGAGTGGGGTAGAATGGGGTGGGGTCCGATGGGGTGGGGTAAGGTAGGGTGGGGGTGAGATGCGGAGGGCTGCGATAAGTTTTCTGTCACACACCACCCTGCTTCCCCTTCCCCACCCCGTGGTACCCTATATCCATGTGCTCCCATGACTTGAACCGCGCGAGGAACGCAGAGAGGGAGATCACTGGCTGGTGGCTGGGGGTGGGGTGGGATGCGGTAGGGTAGTGTGGGGTGGGGCAGGGTGGTAATGGTGTGAGTCTCTGCTGCAACATCTACCCGCCCTGCCTCCTCTTGGTTGCCTGTCCATGCGTGTTTTGAGTCGACTCAAAACACACCCGCCCTGCCTCCTCTTGGTCGCCTGTCCATGCGTGTTTTGAGTCGACTCAAAACACACCCGCCCTGCCTCCTCTTGGTCGCCTGTCCATGCGTGTTTTGAGTCGACTCAAAACACACCCGCCCTGCCTCCTCTTGGTCGCCTGTCCATGCGTGTTTTGAGTCGACTCAAAACACACCCGCCCTGCCTCCTCTTGGTCGCCTGTCCATGCGTGTTTTGAGTCGACTCAAAACACACCCGCCCTGCCTCCTCTTGGTCGCCTGTCCATGCGTGTTTTGAGTCGACTCAAAACACACCCGCCCTGCCTCCTCTTGGTCGCCTGTCCATGCGTGTTTTGAGTCGACTCAAAACACACCCGCCCTGCCTCCTCTTGGTCGCCTGTCCATGCGTGTTTTGAGTCGACTCAAAACACACCCGCCCTGCCTCCTCTTGGTCGCCTGTCCATGCGTGTTTTGAGTCGACTCAAAACACACCCGCCCTGCCTCCTCTTGGTCGCCTGTCCATGCGTGTTTTGAGTCGACTCAAAACACACCCGCCCTGCCTCCTCTTGGTCGCCTGTCCATGCGTGTTTTGAGTCGACTCAAAACACACCCGCCCTGCCTCCTCTTGGTCGCCTGTCCATGCGTGTTTTGAGTCGACTCAAAACACACCCGCCCTGCCTCCTCTTGGTCGCCTGTCCATGCGTGTTTTGAGTCGACTCAAAACACACCCGCCCTGCCTCCTCTTGGTCGCCTGTCCATGCGTGTTTTGAGTCGACTCAAAACACACCCGCCCTGCCTCCTCTTGGTCGCCTGTCCATGCGTGTTTTGAGTCGACTCAAAACACACCCGCCCTGCCTCCTCTTGGTCGCCTGTCCATGCGTGTTTTGAGTCGACTCAAAACACACCCGCCCTGCCTCCTCTTTGTCGCCTGTCCATGCGTGTTTTGAGTCGACTCAAAACACACCCGCCCTGCCTCCTCTTGGTCGCCTGTCCATGCGTGTTTTGAGTCGACTTAAAACACACCCGCCCTGCCTCCTCTTGGTCGCCTGTCCATGCGTGTTTTGAGTCGACTCAAAACACACCCGCCCTGCCTCCTCTTGGTCGCCTGTCCATGCGTGTTTTGAGTCGACTCAAAACACACCCGCCCTGCCTCCTCTTGGTCGCCTGTCCATGCGTGTTTTGAGTCGACTCAAAACACACCCGCCCTGCCTCCTCTTGGTCGCCTGTCCATGCGTGTTTTGAGTCGACTCAAAACACACCCGCCCTGCCTCCTCTTGGTCGCCTGTCCATGCGTGTTTTGAGTCGACTCAAAACACACCCGCCCTGCCTCCTCTTGGTCGCCTGTCCATGCGTGTTTTGAGTCGACTCAAAACACACCCGCCCTGCCTCCTCTTGGTCGCCTGTCCATGCGTGTTTTGAGTCGACTCAAAACACACCCGCCCTGCCTCCTCTTGGTCGCCTGTCCATGCGTGTTTTGAGTCGACTCAAAACACACCCGCCCTGCCTCCTCTTGGTCGCCTGTCCATGCGTGTTTTGAGTCGACTCAAAACACACCCGCCCTGCCTCCTCTTGGTCGCCTGTCCATGCGTGTTTTGAGTCGACTCAAAACACACCCGCCCTGCCTCCTCTTGGTCGCCTGTCCATGCGTGTTTTGAGTCGACTCAAAACACACCCGCCCTGCCTCCTCTTGGTCGCCTGTCCATGCGTGTTTTGAGTCGACTCAAAACACACCCGCCCTGCCTCCTCTTGGTCGCCTGTCCATGCGTGTTTTGAGTCGACTCAAAACACACCCGCCCTGCCTCCTCTTGGTCGCCTGTCCATGTGGCTCCATGACTTGAACCGTGTGAGATGAGATGGAGAGAGTTGAGATCACTGGCTGGGGGCTGCAGGTGGGGTGGGTTAGGGTGGGGGTCCAGTGGGGTGGGGTGGGGTGGGGTGGGGTGGGACGCGAACGTTGGGTTTTGATTGTGAGGAATGGGTTGTGTGCCAGCCAGCCCCCCCATTCCTTTCGTGACGCCTTTCGAGACGTCCCAAGACTCGCGCTGAGACAGACCCCTCAAGGACGCTTTTAATGACACCCAACCCAATAGACGCTTCTTACGGCCTGAAAACGCTTCTGAAGGCCCAAACAGACGTTGGTAACGGCCCCGACAGGCCCCGACAGGCTTTGAGTTAACCCAGACTTCCCCCACGGGCCCCAAAAGTCGCACTGATGCCTTGTGCCTCTTGCACAAGAGCGCGCGCGCGGGGGCGAGAGGCAGCACCACCCGCACCGCAGCACAGCCCTGTGAGAGAGTGTGCGTGGCACTCAGGCACCTCCTCACTCACTCACTAGCCAATCCAAAAGTGCGGTTGCGCAGGGAGCGAGAGGAAGCACTCGCAGTTGCAGAAACAGCACGAAGGCCCGTTCAAGTCTCCCTCCCACCCTTTCAACTCAGCACAACGGCTGTGGTACGATGACGTAATTTTGGAATCGACTCACTCAGAATCCTTCCCCTCCTCATCTCACCCCTCCTCACCTCATGATATGCGAGTAGTTGTAGTACAGCCCCAGGTGCCGCCGCTTCACACGCCCGGTAAGCGTGTGCTTGGCACTCAGGCATCTCTCGCTCGACAGCACCAGCGTGCGATTCAGCGCCCTCGCCTCTGCTGCCACGCACGCGAGGCTCTCAGAGAAGTGCGACTGGCCCACGCAGTTGTCTGCTTCGGATGAGAGCAGGTAGAATCGCTCCCCGCTGTTGTACGCGTCTCGCACCGCGCTCACTCCCTCCGGGTCCCACACCTCTCCTGCTCCTGCTACTCCTCCTCCTGCTAATCCTCCTGCTCCTTCTCCTGGGGCTTCTCCTGTTCCTCCTCCTCCTCCTCCTCCTCCTCCTCCTCCTCCTCCTCCTCCTCCTCCTCCTCCTCCTCCTCCTCCTCCTCCTCCTCCTCCTCCTCCTCCTCCTCCTCCCCCCTCTCTCATTTCCTGTCCCTCCACATCACTTCCCCCTCCCACCAACCCTTCCCTTCCTCCGCCATTTGAACCCTTCTGCCCCTCGTGCTGCCCCTCATGCTGCCCCTCGTGCTGCCTCTCATGCTGCCGCCCTTTCTGCCTCTCATGCTCATCCTCTTGCCCCTCACCCCGACCCTCCTTCTCTACTTCCTGTGTGCCAATACTCCCATGCTTCCTCTTCTCTTCCTGCTCCTGCTCCTTCCTCTCTTCTTCCTTCTCCTTCCTCTCTTCCTTCTCCTTCCTCTCTTCTTCCTTCTCCTTCCTCTCTTCTTCCTTCTCCTTCCTCTCTTCTTCCTTCTCCTTCCTCTCTTCTTCCTTCTCCTTCCTCTCTTCTTCCTTCTCCTTCCTCTCTTCTTCCTTCTCCTTCCTCTCTTCTTCCTTCTCCTTCCTCTCTTCCTTCTCCTTCCTCTCTTCTTCCTTCTCCTTCCTCTCTTCTTCCTTCTCCTTCCTCTCTTCTTCCTTCTCCTTCCTCTCTTCTTCCTTCTCCTTCCTCTCTTCTTCCTTCTCCTTCCTCTCTTCTTCCTTCTCCTTCCTCTCTTCTTCCTTCTCCTTCCTCTCTTCTTCCTTCTCCTTCCTGTCCTCCTGCTCCTTATTCTCTTCCTGCTCTTTCCTCTCTTCATTTTCCTTCCTCTCTTCCTTCTCCTTCCTCTCTTCCTCCTTCCTCTCTTCCTGCTCCCTCCTATCTACCTGCTCAATCTCCTCTCCACCTTTCACTCCCCCATGCTCTCGGTTCCTTGCAACCCCTCCTCCAGCATCCACTCCCCTTTTTATCCCTTCCTCCACCTTCTCCTCTATCCCCTCTACCCCCGTTCCTCTCTCCCTTTCCTCGTCTCCCTCCCCTGTCCCCCGCTCAGAAACTTCCTTCGGCTTTCCTACTTCCTTCGTCTCCCCATCCCCACCGCCATCCCTTCCCCTTCCCTCTCTCCCGTCCACTCCCCCTTCCTCCCCCACTTGCCCCCTCTGTCCCTCTGCTATCGCCCTTATCTCCTCCTCTTCCTCCCCGCTGATCTTCGCACTCCCCTTTTTCGCACTCCCCTCTGTCTCACTCCCCTCTTTCTCACTCCCCTCTTTCTCACTCCCCTCTTTCTCACTCCCCTCTTTCTCACTCCCCTCTTTCTCACCCCCATCTTTATCACCCCCTTCTTTCTTACTCCCATCTTTCTCAACCCCCGCTTTCTCTGTCGCCTCTTTCTCATTACCCACCTCTTGCCCCTCCCTTTCCCCTTGCCCTATACCCTTCCCTTCGACTTCTCCTCTCATTTCTCCAAAATTCCTCTTTCTATGCTCCCACTTCTCCTTCCCCTCCCCCCCTTCCCCTTCCCCCACATCCTCCTCTCCCCCATGCTTTCCCCGATCTGCTCCGCTCCCCCCTATTCCCAAACTTCCATCCCCTTTATCTTGCCCTCCCCCGCTCGAGCCATCTCCTCTCGAATTCCCCCTCGTGTTACCGTCCTGTCCCCCCGTTTCCGATTCCTCTACGGATCCCTCGCTTCCTTTCCCCCTTTCTTCGTCTCGACCTCCTCCTCCCCGCTTTTGCCGCCGCCATTCGCGCCACTCCGCGTACCGTTCTTGGCGGCGCCGCTGCTGCTGCAGCTTCCACTCCTCGAGCCGCGCCTGACGCTGTTCTAACTGGCGACTCGACAAGAAGAGATGGATTAAGAGACAAAATAGTCCCACCCCTAGACACGCGAGGATCTTGACGCGCAGCTGCGCCATCCGCGCGGAGAAACACCGCGCGCGAGCTCATGCGGAAATTTGAGCGCTCATGCGCGTGCTAACGTGGCCCTTAAGAGAAATTCCAGAGCACTTCACCCTCTTTCTCGATAGACTGGTATCCGGTGTAAGAACAGGGACGGGTTGTAGAACCTCAACGCACCCATGAAGGTGCAATCACTATCACATACGGTATAGTCACACTCGTATGAATCGGTCGTTTTGCATGTAGGAATGGTGGGCAAGGGTATTCAGCGCAGTTTGTGGCGTGGTGCGTTTTTGCGCGCAACTCTCAAGGTTTGGATTTTGTCAGCAGCGCGCCAAATCCAAGCACTGTAGCCAGTGTTTGTGCTGGTGAGAGGATCGAGAGCAAGGGTGAACAGATACAGTCAGTGCCCATTTCAAGAACACCAGGTAAGCGGGCGGCATGTGCGCGAATGGTGTTTTGGGCGGTTCGCCACGTTCGCCCTTGTCGCCACGGGCAAAAATGTGACAGTAATATGAAATTGCAACGTGAATCAAGTTAAGGGCTTAACTTCGTAACCAGGTTAACTTCTCTGATGACAGTCAACCGTTGTTGTTTATGTGCTGTAGATGTTTTTCTTCCTCAACTTGGTGACTGTACCCCGAAATCGGCACAATGGTCAATTTAGTCACTCACGGGCAAAACGTTCGCGAGTGACTAAATTTCTAAAAGCAGGGGCAAATGTTTTGTGATAGGCTGAGCATCGACTGTAGCAGCTGGTTCGACATGGATGGCAGATTTTGGAGTGAATTGACGAAGTCCTCTCCAGTCCAACCTGGTCGGTCCCTACTTTGTACCCGATGAACGAAAATGGTCCTTTTCCATAATAGAGCAGCCCCAACAGAGGATATACAGTTAGTTATGCTTATTCTAAGGTGAAAACGATACCTATGTAATATGGCATTATTCCTTCTCCGTTTCTTTCCCCATGCATGATAAACCATAAGGGGCTGGAAAAATAATTATTTTCATGTCCTTGCATTCAGTTGACCATACTGTAATTCACTGATTAACAGACTAACTACCCAGGCATACCGCGAAATACACTTTCCTCTTAGGCTCGGTTGTCAGGTTCCTTTGGGAGTACAGGCTCGCTTCGGCAGCAGGTTCGTGCCGGAACCGTCTAGTACCAAACCTGTCTTGTTCCAAACCATCCAACAAAACCTGAGAGAGCACTTCATAAGGGTTCCGTTAGCGCAGTCCGCCGAAAATAGCTCCCTCGGATGGCATGCCATCTGATGGGGGTTTATTTTTTTTGCTGCCCGGGGCAGCAGGTCGACAGGTCGACACAGGTCGACAGGCTTGTCGACCTGATTCCGCTGAGATCTTCCACTCACACGGTCACAGCACTCGGTTTTTTGAGCCTCCATTTCCGCCACTGGTGAGTTATCTACAGAAGGAGATCAACTCGTACAGCGTTTCGAGGCCATTGTTGAATGGTGGAAACAAGACAGCAGCACCACCCGCGACAATGGTTTGTGCGAGATTTTCGATAAGCTGGATTTCGAATCCGCGTTCTATGGCGGTGACAAGTAGGCTTATATCTCGGGACTCTCTATTGCAGCGGCAATTTTTAACCAAGTGCCTGCAGCACACCGCCTGTAGCGACTAATATTCTCGAACCGATTGTGGTTCGAGTTGAGCGACCATCTATCCCTCCTTGCTAGGTTCCCAATGATGGTTGCTGGGGACTCCCGTCAAAGAGCCGTGAGTGCTTCTCGAGACATCAGCAATGGGAGCTGTGGCGCCACGTCAGACAGTGGTTGTAACATTGCCAGTAACAGCAGCAGCCTCCTTTCCAGCCGTGGCGAAGGAAATGCCTCAAACCCGCCTGTAACGGGATCTTTCGCCCGTTTCGCCATGAAGGTTTCGAACGGACGCATCACCATCCCCCTTCTTTCTTGCTCTCTGATCACCCTCCTCTCCTTCTTACTCATCCTCCTCCTCCTCCGGGACCAATCGAGCTTGCCGCGCTCCGGCAAGACAGCGCTTCTTCATTTCAACGCGGGAAGAACCAAAGTTCTCCGCTGCCCGGTCAACATCAGCAGCGTTACGCGTAGCACTTCCCTCGGAATCGACTCGAGTTTCCCGCGTCCTGTGCCTTGGTCTCCTCAACCCGGAAAATTCCTCCTAACTACCTGCGTGCAGGGTCAACTATCGAACCGCCATCTCTGCGTACATAAGTCTCTCCTCCTCGCGATGCTCCTTAATCGCACACTCATTCTCCCGCCTCTCGACGTTTGTTCGGAATCCGCGGCCCGGCACAGGACCTATGACCTAGCTCTAACTATAGATCTCGAACACTTAGCCCAGTGCTTCAATGGGGTAGGAGGCCCGAACGGAGGACTGGCAGCAGCAGGAGCAGCAGCAGGAGCAGAAGGAGCAGAGTCAACTGCTGCGGAACTTCCAGCAGGAGGGAAAGTCGACAGGAACCTCCCCCTTATACCTCCTGGTGTGGTATCCCTGGAAACTTATCTGAAGACATACAACAGCAATCGCAGCACTCTGGTGGTGGATGAGTTAGCGTGCGGCCTCGTCCCCGACCGTACCGCCTGTGCCGATCTGCTCATGTGCAGCAACAGCACCGAATCCAACCACACAACCATCACCTTCCCGTCCACGCTCTCCCGAATGCGTCTCCCACCGGGCCGCCTTGCAGATCTGGCCTCCAGACTCGCGGATCACGCCCCTGCCACGGTCTCTGCGCGGGTTCTTAGCCTCGGCGACCTCTTTCAGCTCAAAACACTGGAATTTTCCCAGAATACCGCGTTTCTCCCGCCGCAGTTTCTTCCCACGGGCTGCGGCTTGCCGATTCGACCGCCAGCCACTGTCGTGAAGGCTGCTGCTTGGTACATGCAGGAGTATACAGGGAGGGACTTTGTGGCTCTGCATCTTAGGAGAAAGGATTTCTTGTCCCGGTTTCATAACAGTCCAGGGAAACTGGCTGATTATTTCCCTCTCACGACCATTGCGGACTGTGTGTTGGAAAAAATTGGTGCTGCGAATATTGCTGCAGCGGCCGATCTGGGCATTGCCGATAGTGGTGATGGTGGTGGTGTTGGTGCTGCTGCTGCTGCTGGTGATATTGGCAGCGTTGCTTCCTTTGCCAGACCATCGCACGAAGGACGTCGGATTCACATTGTCTTTCTATGCACGGATGCAGGCTCAGGGCAAGTGAAAACTCTTTCAAAGCTGTTGGCGCTCCACGGGGTTACTTTGCTGCGCATGAACATGCGCACAGACATGGCTTTCCAGTCTTCTGGGGTCGACCGAAGAGTGGCGGAATCCCCAGATGCTGCAGCCATGGTGGAAAAGGTCATTGCGGCTAATGCACGCTTTGTGTTGTATGCCCGGGGGTCTAGCTTTTCCGGGCAGATTAGGTATATGAGGCGGAGCCTTGGGCTTGAGAGTTGCTGGGATGGGGTTGTTTGTGAGGAAAGGAGTGACGTAGTGGTGTCGTTACCGACAGCTCTTGTGGGAAAATGATTTGATGCAGGGTTTGTATAGGTTTAGCGAAGATGTGGCGTCTAGCATTGCTTTGTGCCAATTTCTGTCTTTGTGTACGTAAATCCTACGTATGCTGGTACATATACATTGCATTTTGTGTTTTCCAGATTGTACCATTGCCTCTGCGTAAAGAACAACTCTGCAAGGGAGACGAGAGGCTTCGCAGCACCTGCGTTCTGGTGACGTCATTACGGATGTATTTATTTGTGGTCCCCACTCATCCACATGATCAGCCACTGTTCGAACATCAGTGAGTCGGCTACTAGGATATTCATCCATAAATGAGTAATGGTGGCTAGTCCACAACTCTTGTACGCGACAGACCATCGCCATTCACACGCCCTTGCCTCCCGCTCCGAGCGGACTCGACATTCTGGCGTTCGTCGCGACCTTCGCACACTGGTAACGCCTTCGCAACAATAAGAATTGATTTCGCAACTCGCGAAGTAGTGACGGTTGGGGCTCGTCACGACAGCACGGGGCGGAGGCGCGATGGCACTTTTAAGACTGTCCAATTCTTCTTGCCGACGTAGTTCCCTGCTATCACTGTTACGAGGTGGCGGCTCGGGAATCAGAGCAACCACTTATAACGAATCCGGTCGCAGCTGCTCCCGGTACTGTCACTCCAGTTGTTGCGACGCCTCGTTGCCTCTGGCAATCTCGCGCAACGGTTCACCCTCGAATTCCACCCTTCCATCTCACTCTTCTTCCTCCTCCTCCTCCTCCTCCTTTTCTTATTCCTCCTCCGTCTCATCTTCATCCTCCCCGATCCCGTCCGTTGCGTTTCCCTACAAAGCTCCAGCTCTCGCTCTTCTACCGTTCGCTCTGCAACCTACTATCTTGCCGCACCGTCGCGAAAGTCACCTGATATCACGGGATCCTATCTCAAAGCGTTGCCGGATCGCCCCTAAAATCTCCCCGTTCTTCCAATGCTCTTCGTCCCAGCTCGATTTGTCGTCCATTCCTCAGTTGGCCCTCGTACCGCTACCGCTCGTCCGTCCCGCTCCTCGTCCTCTTCCTCCGCCTGCTGCTGCTGGTAGAGATTCTTATCTCGTTGCTAGGAGCAGAGGCATCAGCAGCACCACTGATACCACCACTAGCAGCAGCAGAAGCAGCAGCAGAAGCAGCAGCAGAAGCAGCAGAAGCAGCAGCAGCAGCAGCAGCAGCAGCAGCAGCAGCAGCAGCAGCAGCAGCAGCAGCAGCAGCAGCAGCAGCAGCAGCAGCAGCAGCAGCAGCAGCAGCAGCAGCAGCAGCAGCAGCAGCGCCAATGTCAATGTCGCGGCAGCTGTTTCCCCAGCGTGTCTCGTCTCGGAGCAATACGGAGCTGAGGTGGCGGCGGGCCGGCTGACGTGGGACCCACGCCAGGCTGACGTGGCAGCCGCCATGGATGACCTGGTAACCCAGCTGGCAGCGTACGACCGAGCAATGCGGGAGTACCAGGTGGCACTCGCTGATTGGCTGGCGCAGCGGAGGGTTCTGAGAAGAGAACTGGTGGAGAAGGAGAGGAGAGAGGCGAGGGAGAGGGAGGGGAGGAGGAAGGGGAGGGAGCAGCGGTGGGGGTGGCTGGTGGCGTGGTGGCATGGCATGGCTGATACTGCTGCTCGCCTTGCTTCTTCCAGGTTTCACATGCTACTCTCCCTCCTCTTCCTCGTCTCCCTCCTTTGCCTCCTCTTTCCTCCTCTCCCTCCTCCCCCTCCCCTCCTCTGTCCCCCCTCCCTCCCCTCCCTCCTCCCTACTCCCTCTCACGTTCTTCCCCTCCCAAATTTGAGTTGCGAACATCCACCCTTATTCCTCCGTTTTCTCCCATCCTGCTTCCCACCCTCGCTCTCTCCCTCCTTTTCTGTCTCACTTCCACACCCACAAACCCTTAGGGTTTTGCATGAACCCAACTCACCCACATGTTCTGTGCTTACTGTGTGCCACCATACCCGGTCCCCATCTCCCTCCCCTGTACTTTTTTGCGTCCACTCATCGCTTCAATTAACTGGATCAAGCTTCGATCCCTCTTTTTCGCATTGTTTACGCCTCAAGAATCACCATTCCAATCTCCCTTCCCTTCCATCCCTCACACGCAGGGCACAGCGTTCCCTCCTCTCCTCCTCCCCCGCTCTTCTGCAAGGCCTTTCTTGGAAACTTCCCAGTAACACCAACAGTAACAGCAACAACAACAGCAGCAGCAGCGACACTACCAGGACCGAGCGGTCGGGAATCCTGGAAAGATTGATAGGCCCGGACGGTTGGAGCAGAAGCAGCAGCAGCAGATCCGCACTTGAGAGATTCAGATCACTGTCGCCTCTTCTGGACTGGCAGGGGCGTCGACTCTCCCAGGGGACACCAAGGCGATCCACAGTTGAGAGATCCACCCGGAGGGGGCGGGGGATGGGGAGAGGAGGAGGAGTGGTGGTGGTGGAGAGAGGGATTGGCCGCATAGCGAGACGAATCAAGCGGGAGAAAGTTCTGGATGGTATGATGCCTGCTCGGCCGCTCGCCCCTGCTGCTCCCCAGGGGGTTTACTTGCACGGGAGTGTGGGGTCAGGGAAGACCATGCTCATGGATATGCTGTTTGGAGCGGTGCAGAGGGGTGGAGTGGTTGGCGTGGCGAAGCGGGTGCATTTTAATGAGGCTATGCTGGAGGTGCATCAGCGGATGCATAGGTATTGGCGGGAGAGAGAGGAGGTGAAGGAGAGGAAGCGGGAACGGGAGAGGGCGAGGCGGGAGGGGCGTGTAGGAGTGGTGGGGAGTGGTGGGGTGGGGTTGGAGAGAGGGGAGATGAGGTGGGACGAGGAGGAAGAGGAGGAGGAGGGAGAGGATGCAATTCTAGACGCTGTTGCTGATGAGTTCCTGGGAAAATGGGGAGGCGAGGGGACAGTGGAGCATCAGCAAGTCGAGGAGGAGGAGGAGGGAGCAGTGATGCAGGGAGCAGCAGCGGTGCAGGGAGCAACAGCCGCACAAGGATCAGCAGCAGCAGCAGCGGCGGCGGTGCAAGGAGCAGCAGTGCTGTGTTTCGACGAGGTGCAGGTGCTGGACGTGTTCACAGCTGTGGCTCTAGGCCGCCTGCTGCAGCGCGTGCTGCTGAGGGGGGTGGTGCTCGTCGCCACCAGCAACAAGGCGCCCTGGGAGCTCAACCAGGTAAGTTCTGATATGCAGTGTCGTGTCTGACTCAAGAGTCAAATTCTGACTCAAGTTCTGAGACGGAGAGGCAGCTCCTGAGTCTGACTCAAGAGCCAGCGCGCTGCTCAGGAGGGTGGTCCTCATCGCCACCAGCAACAAGGCGCCCTGGGAGCTCAACCAGGTGGGATGCCCATGTTGGGCAGTAAGGGGGTTGTTAACCTGTGCAAGGGAGAAAAATTTCTTCTCCCTTTCGCCTCCCGTCCCCCAATTCGCATCTCTCCTTCCCACACTTTCACTCCCCTTATATTTTTTGCTTCCTGCCCCGATATTCTTGGCGCCACCACTCCTTACGGCCGGCAACACTATGAGCTGCTCCAGGCATCCGTTGAGAATTCTCAACATTTAGCTTATGAGGGCACTTCTGCAGCCTCAGAGGTCGTTCCTTGGAGTCACAATTGCCAGGAAGCTCCCTTGGCACTTCTCAAAGTCCCTCTCTCTCCGCCCCACTTCGCGTTTCTTCCTTCTTAACCCGAACGCCCCCCCTTTCAGGACGGGCTGCAGCAAGAGCTGTTCCAGGCGTTTGTAAGCACTGTTAAGGGCTCTTGCCACGTGCTACCGCTCTCCTACCTGCCAGCCAGCTCCATTCGCCCTGCACATATCCCGTCTCCCCTCTCCCCAACGCCCCCTGCGCGTCTCTCCTTCCTCCTCTCAGGACAGGCTGCAGAGGGAGCTGTTCCAGGCGTTCGTGAGCACTGTTGAAGGCTCCCCTCCCCCTTTCCCAACCCCCCTCCCGCCCCCCTCTCTTGCCATCTCTCCCGCCCCTCCTCGTGTCCCCCCCTTTCAGGACGTGCTGCAGCGAGAGCTGTTCCAGGCGTTTGTGAGCACTGTGCTGTGAAGCGCTTCTGCCTCTCGCCTCCCCACATGCGTTTCTTTCTTCCTCCTCCCCCACGTGCCCCGCCCTCTCAGGACGGCCTGCAGCGAGAGCTGTTCCAGGCGTTTGTGAGCACTGTGAAGGGCTCTTGCCACGTGCTGCCCCTCTCCTCCCCCACGGACTACCGCTGCCTGCACTCCGCCCCCCCTCCCCCCGCCCATGTGAGCCCCTTTCCCTTCTCCCCCCCCCCCCCCCCCCCACCCTCCTCTGCCCACATGGGCCCCCCTGCCCATATGTCCTGCCCTGTCCTTTCTGCCCTTTCCTTTCTGCCCTGTCCTTTCTGCCCTGTCCTTTCTGCCCTGTCCTTTCTGCCCTATCCTTTCTGCCCTGTCCTTTCTGCCCTGTCCTTTCTGCCCTGTCCTTTCTGCCCTGTCCTTTCTGCCCTGTCCTTTCTGCCCTGTCCTTTCTGCCCTGTCCTTTCTGCCCTGTCCTTTCTGCCCTGTCCTTTCTGCCCTATCCTTTCTGCCCTGTCCTTTCTGCCCTGTCCTTTCTGCCCTGTCCTTTCTGCCCTGTCCTTTCTGCCCTGTCCTTTCTGCCCTGTCCTTTCTGCCCTGTCCTTTCTGCCCTGTCCTTTCTGCCCTATCCTTTCTGCCCTGTCCTTTTCTGCCCTGCCCTGACCTGCTCAGCCCTTTCCTGTCGCATCTCTCCTGTGGGATCGGGTGTGGTAAGCTACAGTGGCTTTGTGTCGCCATGTTGCTGTGCTGGCGTGTTAATGTGTTGGTATGTGGGCGTGCTGTCATGTTGACAAGCTGTGTTAATAGCATGCTGACATGATTTCTCATTAGCTTACTAGCATGCTGTTTGTAATAGCATGCTGACGTGCTTTTTCATTACCTTATTACCATGCTGGCATGCTGTCTAATTAGCATGGTGAGATGCTGTCTTATTAGCATGTTGGCATGCTGTCTTGTTAGCATGTTGACATCAAGCCACTCTCTTTCACATTCTCTCTCCTCACGCTCCCTCAACCTCCTCCACCCTCGCATTCTCCCCATTCTCTCCACCCTTCCCCACCCTGCACAGAACCTACCGGGACCACCACCAGCACCCAGCTCGACCCCAACAACTACCACCGTCACTCCCTCACTCTCCTCCCTCTCACCATCACAACCACATCTCTCCTCCCCTCCCCCTCCCCACTCCCCTCCTCCCTCACCACCTACTCCTCCTCATCTTCCCTCCAGCCGCACACCCACTCCTTCCCATCAGCCTGCTCCTACAACGCCCCTAGTTCCCGCCTTCCCTGGTTACTCCTACTTCTGGCCTCTCGGCCCTCAGTCAGAGAGTCTCTTTGAGGACAGGTGGCACGATGCCGTTGGTCGAGAGCTGCGGTTGCATGGAGGAAGGAGAGGGGAAGGAGGCAAGGGAACGGACGCATACGTGGAAGGCCAGGGGGAGGATATTCCTGTCATGTTTGGACGGTGAGTTTTGAGGCGCCTCAAAACTCCCCTCTATGTGGAAGGCCAGGTGGAAGACATTCCTGTCATATTTGGACGGTCAGAACGCACCCCTCCTCTCTCCTTCTCCCCATCCCTCTTCCTGACTGCTCTCCCTCTTTCCAAACCTTTTCCCCCTCCCAAGAGCCTATCCTTTTCCCTTTCCTACCGCACCCTGCCTCCCTCCGAGTTCTCGCTCGCTTTCTTCGCCTCTGCTGCCTCCCTTGCTCCCTTCCGCCTGTCCGTCACTCCATCTTAATTCCTCCCATTCATCACACGCACATGCACATGCAACATACTTTTCTCTGGCGTATGGCAGTCGCTTTTGAGAATTCTCGAAACGGACTCTTCTTTATTTCCAACCCGATTGCAGTATTAGGTCTAGATTTCTGTTCAGTGAGTGAAGTACCGACCAAAGCTAAAACTGCATTACCACCCTCTCCGTTTGTTTTGAGCCCACCGCATCAAAAACACCACACACCCCTTTGCTGAAAGAAAGAATACATCACTGCCTTTCCATGTTTTCTTCCTTCCAGGAAAGCAAGCCAAACACCCCTTTGCTGATTGATTGTGTCTCCCCTCCTTTCCATGTCGTCACCTCTCGAGGTGACTTTTGAGTCGACTCAAAAGTCCCCTCCTTTCCACGTCGTCACCTCTCTATCCTTCCGCCTTACGACTCTCCCTCCCATCCAGGTCCCTGCGTGTCCCTGTGTCGGTGCATGGAATAGCGCGCTTCTCTTTCTCCGAATTGTGTGCCAACATGGTATGTGATCGCAGGTTATGGACGCATGATGCATGAGTGGATGCTGTGTGTATGCGTGCACACATAGGTTTATGAATGCAGCCATGTGTGCGTTGCATGCATGCATGCCATGCACACGAAAGCATATGGGCTCATCCATTCCATGCATGCCTTTTGAGTCGACTCGACAGAATATGGGCTCATTCATTCCTTACATGCCATGGCACCACATGCATACACGCAGAAGCTGTACACTTGACGTTAGCTTCGAGTCAATTCAGCAACCACTTCCACCTTGAGTTCATTTATTGGTCAACCATGTATGATTTGAGCCGCCTCAAAAACCATTTCCTTTTTTCTTCTCCCTTTCAAACCTCCTCGCCAGCTGGGCCCACCAGTCTATCTCGCTCTTGCTCTCCACTACCACACTCTCTTCCTCTCCACCATTCCCATCCTCTCACGCTCAGTGCCTTGACCCCTTCCTTTCTCCTTCTCTCCCTCACACCTCCTTCCCCTAAACCCTCTCCCCTTCCTCTTCCCATCCCACCAGCCGGGTTCATCAGACTACCTCGCCCTCGCTCTCCACATCACACTCTTTTCCTCTCCACCATCCCCATCCTCTCACTCACACTTTTTGCAAGACCCCTTTTCCTCACCCTTCCCCTCAACCCCCCCTCCCTCCTCTTCACATCCCATCCCGCCAGCTGGGTCCACCAGACTATCTCGCTCTTGCGCTTCGCTACCACACGCCCTTCCTGTGCACCATCCCATCCCATCCCATCCCATCCCATCCCATCCCATCCCATCCCATCCCCATCTTCTCCTTCTCAGTGCACGACCAGGCACGCTCCATCGTCTCACTCACACTCCGTGCACAGCCCTTCCATCCCACCTCCCTATCTTTCTCCTTTCCATCCCATCCCACCAGCTGGGTCCACCAGACTATCTCGCTCTTCCTCTCCGCCATCCCCATCGTCCTGTGCACACTTTCTCCTGCTCAGTGCACGACCAGGCTCACCCCATCGTCTCACTCACACTCCGTGCACAACCCTTTCTTTCTCCGTCTCCCTCTCCCTTCCATCCCACCCCCCTACCTCCCTTCTTCCCTTTCCATCCACCAGCTTGGCCCACCAGACTACCTCGCTCTCGCTCTGCGCTACCACACTCTCTTCCTGTCAGAGATTCCCATCCTCTCGCGCTCAGTGCACGACCAGGCGCGCCGCTTCCTCACACTCACAGACGAGCTTTACAACCACCGCTGCCTGCTCGTCTGCTCTGCCGCCACTGCTCCTAACAAGCTGTTTAAGGGGCTGCCGGGGAGAGTGGGAAGTGGTGGGGTGAGGGGATCGGGGGGTGGTGGGGAGGGGGGTGGGGGAGGAGGAGAAGGACGGGTTGATGAGGGGGAGGAGGAGGAGAAGGAGGAGGGAGGAATTGTGCCGAGGATTGATCTTGAGAGGTAATGGTGGTTCCTGCCGCTTCTTGCCGATTCTTGCCTGCGCTTCCTGCCGCCTTCTCTTTCTCCTCCCTCCTTCCTCTTTCTCCTCCCTCCTTCCTCTTTCTCCTCCCTCCTTCCTCTTTCTCCTCCCTCCTTCATCTTTCTCCTCCTCCCTCCCTCCCACCCCCCAGCCTTCAGTTTGAATCGGAGGTGGGGGGCAGTCGCCTAAGAAGGGACGTGCTAGCGGAGGGGGGTCGTTCCCCCCTCACCTCCTCTTTTACACTCCCCGTGCGCCAGCTCTCCGGGCGGGAGGAGGAGTTTGCATTCCACCGAGCGGTAAGTGCACGGCACGCGTGTAATGAGTTGAGTTTTGAGTCGACTCAAAACCTCTACTCATTCCACCGAGCAGTAAGTGCACGGCACGGCACGCGCTTCTTCCTCCTTCCTCTCTCTCTCTCCGCTCACCTCGTCCGCTGCTCTCCCAGCGGCCAGCTTTCCGGTCAAAAAGAGGAGTTTGCATTCCACCGAGCAGTAAGGGGGGGGGCTTAGGTGTATCTTGAGTCGACTGAAACTACTCCCCATGCGCCACCTCTCTAGACGGGAGGAGGGATTCCTGTTCCCTTCTCCCTTCTCCCTTCTCCCTTCTCCCTTCTCCCTTCTCCCTTTCCACCAAGTGGTGTTTGCACGCCCTTCTCCTTCCCTCCTTTCCTCCTCTTTCTCCTCGCCCCCTCCGTCTCCGCCCTCACCTCCTCTTCCATGCTCCCCATGCGTGAGCTGTCCAGGCAAGAAAAGGCAGTAGCATCCCACTGAACGGTAAGGGCTTAGAGGTATAGGTCTCACAGGTTAGAGACATCTCACAGGTATAGGTATAGGTACAGGTACTTCAAAGGCTTCCCGTGCGCCAGCTCCCTGGGAGATTGAAGTGGAGTTGGCAGTGTAGGTTCTTAGAGAGTTCTCAAAAGACATACGCCAGCTTCCAGGGGTATTGAAGTGGAGTTTGCGTTTGAACGAGCGGTAAGGGCTTGACACAAACGCTCATCACAAATGTCTCACAGCGAGGCCTTCTCGTTGTCTTCCCAACGCTTCGTCTCTGCTGCAGGTTTGGTTTCGAGGTTGCCGGAAATGCAGTCTGAGCGATACTACAGGCTGCACTACCAAGTGCGTCGAGGCGTCGAGACTCAAGAGGCGACAACTGAGACAACTCAAAAGAGGCCTTCTTGCCCTGCTCCCATTGTGTTTCCCATGCTGCAGGTTTACTTTTGAGTCGACTCAAAAGTCAACTTCTGAGTTGACTCAAAAGTCAACTCGAGAGGCGACAACTGAGACAACTCAAAGGAGGCCTTCTTGCCCTGCTCCCATTGTGTTTCCCATGCTGCGGGTTTACTTTTGAGTCGACTCAAAAGTCAACTTCTGAGTTGACTCAAAAGTCAACTCGAGAGGCGACAACTGAGACAACTCAAAGGAGGCCTTCTTGCCCTGCTCCCATTGTGTTTCCCCTGCTGCAGGTTTCAAGGTTGCTGGAAATGCAGTCTGAGCGATACTACAGGCTGCACTGCCAAGTGCGTCGATATCATACTGTAGATGAGTCACAGAGGAGTCACAGATGATAGAAGAATGTTTTACCGGTACCGGTAATACGGTACAGCAGCAATTGGGTCAATGTCAAGTGCCTGTACTGGTAAGTCTCGTATTCTTTTGTAACAAGAAGCGTGTAGGCAGTAGGTTTCTACGCATTCTGGAAACCCAGTGTACTGTACCGTGCTCTTATGGCCTTGTCATGTCGCTATATTGGTGATTTGCCCTACGTAGCTCCTCTGTCAACACTTCTGTAGATATGGTAGGATGAAAGGATGACTGGTCAATGGCACTAGAAAGTCTGAAATGGAAAGACTCAAGTCAAGTCTTGTTTGTTTGGTATTGCATGGCGCCTGCAATGCGTCACCCAGTTGCGAACAGGGGATGGCAAGCATGGCAGGAAACAGGCAAATGATGTGGTTTTTTGGCTCCTGTTGAAATTATTGGCAACTTAAGAGCCCTACAGACACGCTATGGCTGTTGGAAGAGCGGAGACGATTGGAGGAAGTGAGCAAATTGTGCGATGAGGGGTGATGTGCGCACAGCTCCCCACGCTGCTGCTGCTCTCATTGCCCACTCCCTCTCTGTTATCGCCTCTGGGAAGGCCTTCTTGTGCATGCTCAGGATCTGCCGTGGAAAAAGGGGGAGGAGAAGGAACGAGAGGAGAAGGAAGGAGAGGGGAAGAGGGCGGATGGCAAGCCGTAAGGAGGATACACGAATACACCCCCCCGACCGATGCTGCTGCTGCTCTCATCGCCCCTCCCTCTCTGTTATCGGCACCGGGAATGGCTTCTAATGCACGCTCAGCATCTGCCATGGAAAAGGGGGACTTGGGAGGGAGAATCTGGCAAAATTCTGAGGCGCCTAAAAAATAAGTCCTCATGCTCAGGACCGGCCGAAGGAGGGGAGGAGCGCGGGGGAAAGGGAAGGAATTTTGAGTCAACTGAAAGATCTGCTGACACCTCTGGGGGGAAGGGCTTCATGTAAATGCTCAGGATTCAACATGGAAAGAGGGTTAGCTGTGGTACAGCCGTGCTACAGCCGGCTACAAGCGAAGGCTAGAATTGGTGCTTTCCTCGAGATTATCAACACACCCTCGTTCTATCAACGAACCCACCTTGTGCTTCGGCTGCTGCCGGTAACTGTGCATGTGTCACATATAAACGTCCCAAGAATGAGTTGGTGGACCCCTTGTTAAAATGAACCCATTCTGGTTACTATGAACCCACCTTGTGCTTCAGCTGCTGCCTGTAACTGCTCAACGACCCCATTCCACTGCCTCCTCCTGCTCCCCCCAATCCCCCTCCCCTTCCCCCTCCCCCTCCTCCTCTTCCCAATGCTGCGTCCACAGCTGCACCCTCTGCCCACGCCCACGGGTCTTCAGATGGTAGTATCCAGAAACTAACAGACCCCTCTTCCTCCTTTCCACCACCACCACCACCACCACCACCAATGCCTTGCTTGCTGCCCTGCCATTCTCCACTCTCCTTCCCTCCTCCTCCTGCTCCTCCTGCTCCCCCATCGTCCTCCATCTGCTGTTTCACACCGGTTTTTCTTCCCCCAGGGTTAGCCCCGCGTGTGGCCCCATCCCCACCCCTCTCACCATCACCATACACCCCTCTCAAGTACCCTACTCTCCCCCCTCCCCCTCTCCCTCCTCTCCCTCTGCTCCCTCCTCTCTCCCTTCTCCCTCCTTCTCCTCCTCCTCCTCCTCCTCCTCCTCCTCCTCCTCCTCCTCCTCCTCCTCCTCCTCCTCCTCCTCCTCCTCCTCCTCCTCCTCCTCCTCCTCCTCCTCCTCCTCCTCCTCCTCCTCCTCTGATTCCTCTGCTCCCTTTTCCCCCTTCTGACTTACCAGGCCCCAGCGGGATTAGAGGAGGAGGGGCGAGAGGAGAGGAGGTGAAAGGGAGAGGCGGTGTGATGAGCCGCGAAGGTGGAGTGAGGAGAGTGGTGTGGGAGAGGAGGGAGGAGAGGTGCGAGAGGGTGGAGGAGAGCTGACCGGGCGTGAAGTCAGCCGGACGCACTCTGGTGGGTGGGGTTTGTACAAGTGGGGTTTGTCCAAGTGGGGTTTGTCCAAGTGGGGTTTGTCCAAGTGGGGTTTGTGCAAGTGGGGTTGTACAAGTGGGGTGGAAAAGGGGAGGAAGGTTCACATAGCGGTCAGACAGTGAAGTGGAGAGAAGGTGATTCCAAAAAGAGAGTTCTAGTCGGAAAAGGTGGGCAGTGAAAAAAAGATGGGCCATGTTAAAAGGATGGGCAGGTGGTTCCGTATAGGTGTGGTTCTCCTCAACCCTCCTCGCCCCTCCTCACCCCTGTGACCTACTTGTACAAGGATGGGCAGTCAAGTAGAAACGGAGTGAGGGAGTGAGTGAGTGAGCGTTCATGTCAGCACGCATAATCACACCGGAACGCACCTGGCGTGAGGGAGAGAGTGAGCGAGGAGAACGCACCTGGCGAAGACAAAGAGAGCATCGGCAGCGAAACTCTCCTCTCCCTCCTTCCCCAACACCATCTCATCCCCCACCCAACTGCAGCTCTCCCTGTGTTCCCCCCCAGTAGACGGGACACCAGCAGCACCAGCAGCACTAACAGCAGCGGCGGCAGCAGCAGCAGCAGGAGAAGCAGCAGCAGCCGAGGTTGCAGCAGCCTTTGAAGGGCCCCAGGGGCTTTCAGATGGGGAGAGGCGCAGCATTTGGACGGTCTGGATGTACTCCCAGGTGGCGCGGTCGTTTATTCCATCACACACCACGATCACCAGGTGACACACGGAGAAGAGAAATACCCCTAGCTGGGCACAGGGCAACGGGTGAGGGGAAAGTGGGGATAGGTGTGGAGACAGGTGCGGGTGTGGAGTGAATATTGCATGCGTGCGCGTGTATTGTACTCCCACACACATCCCCACGTAGCTTTTGAGAATTCTCATATTGCATGCATGCGTGTGTTTTGTACTCCCACGTGGCGCAATCGTTTATCCCATCGCACACCACGATCACCAGGTGACACACGCTGGGGACAGGGCAACGGATTGTGGGGGGTGGGGTGGTGGGAAGTGGGTTGTGTTGTAGGGGGTAGATAAATATGCGTCTGACAGTGGGTATATATATACATGTATATACATATATATACGAGAGGCAACGAAAAGCATCAAGAAAACTGACTGACCTGCAGGCCCATGATGGTGTGTGCGAGCTCAGCACTGATCAGAGAAGAGTCCCCAGCCTCCCCACCATAAGCAGCAGCAGCAGCAGCACCACCACCATTATCATCTGCAGCAGCAGCAGCAGCACCACCATTACCATCTGCAGCAGCAGCAGCAGGAGGAGGAGGGATGATGTCGATGCTGGCGGTCCCGTCTGCACGGGCGACGTCTAGGAGGAGAGATGCGCAGTTGATGGGCTGATGGGGGGGTGGTGGGGGCATGAGGAGACGTAGGGGAAGGAGGACTGGACGGAAGATTGACAAACAAGTACAGGACGAATGAGGTGGGGCATGGGATGACGGGATAAAAGAGATGAAGGTGAAAGAGTGGGGATGGAAGGGGTGATGAAGGTCAGGAAAGGAGTGGGAGATAGTGGAAGGAGGAGGGATGATGTCGATGCTGACGGTTCCGTCCGCACAGGCAACGTCTAGGAGGAGAGATGCGCTGTTGATGGGCTGATGGGGGGGTGGTGGGGGCATGACGGGACGGGGAGGAGTGAATGGAAGATTGAGAAAAGAGGGGACGAATGAGGTGACGGGGGAAGGGATGGAAGGGATGACAGGATGAAGGGAATGCAGGTGAAGGAGTGGGGAAAGAAGGGGCAGTTAGAGTTAGGGAAGAAGTGGAATATAGCTTTCTCCATGAGTCAAAAGGTGCCGATTAAAGTCAACGATAGTCTCTGCATTGTTCACATCGCACATCACGCATGACACGTCATGATTCTTCACATCACACATGACACGTCATATACATCATGTGTGATGTGAACAACGTGAACAATGCAGAGACTATCGTACACACAACATCCATCATCCATCACACAAATCACACGTCATGATATAATTTTATTCGTTCGAAGCCGTTTGACAGATGAGAGGCAGTGAGGCGAAGCTTAGCGGTGCCTAGTGAGCCACATGTGCCTCCATGCCACTGCTGAAACATACCCAGGCAGTGGCATGGACGCACATGCCACTGCTGAAACATACCCAGGCAGTGGCATGGACGCACATGCCACTGCTGAAATGACTTTCCTTGGCAAGCCTAATACAGCAGCTCACAGGCACAACAGCCCCACCCACCCTCCCAACATCTTCCCCACCACCCACCCACCTGCGTGTCTATGAGCAGAAGCCTATCCGAGGTAACATGCGCCTCCACGCCGCTGCTGCAGTGCTACAGTGCCACAGTGCCTTCCCTTGGTGGCCTAGCACAGCAGCCTATCCCCTCCTCTTACATGCACAGCAACATCCACAACACCCACCCACCTGAGTGTCTATGAGCAACAGCCTATCCGAGGTCACATGCGCCTCCACGCCGCTGCTGCCGTGCCGCCCTGCCAGCACCTGCTCCTCCCCGCCCACCACAAACACCCCTCCCAGGGGCCCTGGGGAAAGGAAACTCCGCAAGAGCAGAGGGAGAGAGGAAGGGGAAAGGATGTTGAGGCATGTCAAAGGGCGCAAACAAAACACCACCCCCCCCCCACCCGACCCAGGGGGGAACAGACCAAGTCACTCTCTCTCCTCCAAGAGCAGAAGGAGCGGATTTTCTAGGCGCCTCAAAAAGAGAACGAAGTTACTTCTCTAAAGAGCAGAGCGAGCGGGAAAGGGGAGAGGAGAGGTGGACCGGGAAAGGCTTGAAAAGAGGAAAAGCTTTTGTGATGCGACAAAGGCATGGGAGAAAGGACACGTGATAAAAGAAGTGTTTTGAGAGGGAAAGGCTTGAGAAGAGAAAAAGGCTTCTGTGATGCGTCAAAGGCGCGGGAGAAAGGAGGACGCTCACCGGAAGCGGCATGGGTGGGGATGCGAGCGGTAGCGAGGAAAAAGGGGAGAGGAGGGGCGGGAAGAAATGGGGCTTGCGGCATGCACTCACCAGCAGCGGTGCACTCACCAGCAGCGGTGCACTCACCAGCAGCGGTGCGCTCACCAGCAGCGGTGCGCTCACCAGCAGCGGCATTGGCGGGAATGTGCGCAGCAGCAAGCGCGTTGAGCAGCGATGATTTTCCAAGGGAGGGCGGACCCAGCACCGCCAGCACTGTGAAATCCGTGTTATCTGAGAGCGCCTGGCGGGAGGGGGAGGGAGGGGTGAGAGAGGGGCAGAAGAGGAGAGTGGGAGAGGGAGGGTGATGCACACGGGATTGGGGCCATGGAGCCAGCACCGCCAGCACTGTGAAGCTCGCGTTGTCTGGAAGAGCCTGGTGGGAGGGGGCGGGATGGGGAGGGGGGAATGGTCTGATGGGGAGAGAGGGAAGGAGGACCCAGCACTGCCAGCACTGTGAATTCCGTGTTGTCTGGAAGAGCCTGGTGGGAGGGAAGGGGATAGGGGGCGGAGGGAGGTGTGGGAGGACGGGGGGGAGACCGTGTTGTGAACGAGGAAGAGGGACGGATGGGGAGAGAGAGAGAGAGAGAGAGAGAGAGAGAGAGAGAGAGAGAGAGAGAGAGAGAGAGAGAGAGAGAGAGAGGGCGGACCCACCACCGCCAGCACGGTGAAGTCTGTGCTGTCAGGAAGAGCCTGGTGGGATTTTTGAGGCGCCTCAAAAATGGTCCGTGTTGTCTGGAAAAGCCTGGTGGAGGGAGGAGAGGAGAGGGGGGGGAGAAGGGGAGGAGGGAGAAACCGTGTTGCGTGAGAGGGAATGAAGGAAAGGGGAGGTTGGGGAAGCAGGAGAGGGAGGGCGGACCCACCGCTGCCAGCACTGTGAAGTCTGTGCTGTCAGGAGGAGCCTGGTGAGAGGGAAGAGGGGCGATGGGAGAGAGGGCAGAGGCGGAGGGGGTCGAGTGGGGTGAGGGGGACCAGAGAGAGAGGGGAGGGGGGAAAAGGGGGAAGTGAAGGGAAAGGAGGCGGGAGGTGGTGGGAAGGGGGGGAAAAGGCGGGGGTGGGGAAGGGGAGAGGAAGGAGAGGTACCTGCACCAGTCATCACCTGCACCAGTCATCACCTGCACCAGTCATCACCTGCACCAGTCATCACCTGCACCAGTCATCACCTGCACCAGTCATCACCTGCACCAGTCATCACCTGCACCAGTCATCACCTGCACCAGTCATCACCTGCACCAGTCATCACCTGCACCAGTCATCACCTGCACCAGTCATCACCTGCACCAGTCATCACCTGCACCAGTCATTACCTGCACCAGTCATCACCTGCACCAGTCATCACCTGCACCAGTCATCACCTGCAGGAGCCGATCAGGAGTAAAATCCCACGCCGAATTCACTAGAGTTACACTCGCACTCGCAGCAACGGGGGCAACTGTGGATGAGGAGGTGGAGGAGGAGGAAGGCAACACAGGGACAGACGCAACTGCTGCTCCCACTGCCCCTGCCCCTGCCCCTGCCACTGCTCCCCCTGCTGCTGCTGCCCCTGATGAGGAGGACACTAGGGATGCTGATGCGGCTGCTGCTGCTGTGGGTCGTGTGCCTATACCCCCTGATCCCAGGCTGTGACGTCTCTCAGAACTCCCCCCCACGCCCCCTCCTCGTTCTCCTCCTCCTGCTCCTGCTCCTGATCCCCTTGCACTTCTCTCACCGCCTCTCCCTCCCCTTCTTTCCCCTCCCTCCGCCCCCCCCCCCCTCCCCCTCCCCCTCCCCCTCCCCCTCCCCGTGCCCCTATCCCTCCCCCCCTCTCTCCGCCTGCACTCAGCAACTCCTCTGCGCCTAATAACCCGCCAGTTTCGAGTCTTCCCCCCCTCCCCTCGACTTCCGCACCAGCCCCCGCTGCCCCCGCGCCTCCCCCCGCCCTGTCATCTCTTAGAATGCGCACAGCGCCTCCCCTCCCCCCCGCGCTTGCTCCCCCGGTCCCCCCTGTGCTGTACAATCCCGCGCCTCCGCCATACCCCCCGCCGTGCGCCCTCCCCGTGCCGTGCGCAAAGCCCCCTACAGATCCGCCGCCGCCGGTCCCGCCGCCAATAGCGGCGGGATTTCCGGAGCCACTCGTACTCGCAGCGCCAGCATCTTGACTAACGTACGGCAAAATGCCACCAGCCGTTAAAATCCCAGGTCGCGCAATTGACACTTGCGGAACCCCGCCTGTGCTGTGGCGGGAAGCATCCGCGGGGGAGGGGAAGGGGGAGGCGGAGCCTTTGCCGTCCCCCACACTCGCGGGCGGAGATGCGCGGAAATTTCCCGGAGCACCAGCGGCGGTGCTGGGCGGAAGCGATCGTTCGGAAGCGCCGCTAGCGAACGATTGCGCGTCCGAAGCGGCGCGATTTACGGGTGACGGTTTGGCAAGGAGTATGCGCGGCGGCATGGCGTAAGGGATTTTTTCTGTAGAGAATCGATAATGAATGTGTTTAGTGGCGATGAACCATTGACTCCAAAAGGTTGATAAGCAATGCTACACGCGAATCCCTCTATAGCGCATGGTACGAAGAAACATGCAATAATTATACCAATAAATGAATCTAAAATTGAAAGGCCACAATCACAATAACAACAGACTCAGATTTCCTAACCTTTTCTAAGGCCAGCAAAATACAAGCCTGAAAGCAGCACACCATCTACCTCAACTCCCGCTTTAATGCGCGCATCAATGTCGTGAAGCGGAACTAGGCTTGTATGCATGAGTGTCTCTGTGCCTTCCCTTGCCGTTGCTCTTCTTCTCTCATCTTTGTTGATCCGTACACGCACAAACAACACCTGCCAGCCACGCCACCAAGCCAAGCAGCACAAGGAAAGAAATTGCTCTTCGAGAGGAGAAGGTAGGTTACTCATCATTCACATCGTAGCGGAATGACATACGTAGTACTGGTATCACATGCCGTTGCTACTGTACAGCTAGGAATACACCGCTACGGTATCTTCATTACCGAGGAACCGAGGATCAAGAGACCCCAGCTCACACCCCGCTCTTATTCACCCCAACCACATCCCACCCCTCTTCTGCTGCCACGCCACACCCCCGAAACAGGGCGACAGCTTCTATTTTAGGTGCCTAAGAACAAAAGCAGCCAACGCACGCACACCCCCACTCTCACCTTCTGCTGCCACACCCCAGGGAGTGGGCGGCACGAGCCTATCATTTCTGCCCCTTCTCCCACGAACCCTGTCTCCTCCTCAAGCTCCCGCATTGCTGCCTGCAGGAGTTAGGGTGGAGACAAGTGGCATGTGCCGTGGATACACGAGTGGATGAAAGGAAAGTGTGTAACAAGCGAAGAGAGAACAGCACTTTGCTGCCCCCAGTCCCACAGACCCTGTCTGTCTCCTCATCAAGCTCCCACACTGCCGCCTGCAGGAGAAGGTGAGGAGACAAGTGGCATGTGGATGTATGAGTGGATGAAAGGGCAGCATGTATGCAGCACGGGCAGCATGTATGCAGCACGGGAAGGGAGTGGGCGGCACGAGCCGATCACCTCTGCCCTGCTTCCCAAGAACCCTCTTTCCTCCTCCAGTTCCCGCACTGCCGCCTGCAGAGGTAGGGTGGAGATGCGTGGGGATGAGTGTGGAAGCACGAGTGGATGAAAGAGCAGCATGCACGTCGCTTGTCCCCCCACCCATAAACTCCGTTTCCTCCTCAAGCTCCCGCAATGCCACCTGCAGGAGTTAGGGTGGAGACAAGTGGCATGTGGGTGTACGGGTGGATGAAAAGGAAGGGTGTGTAACAAGCGCAGAGAGAACAGCACTTTGCTGTCCCCCTCCTCACAAACGCTGTCTCCTCCTCAAGCTCCCGCACGGCCGCCTGCGGCAGAGGGTGAGGAGACAAGTGGCATGTGGGTGCACGAGTGGATGAAAGGGCAGCGTGTACGCAGCATGGGAAGGAGTGAGTAGAGTGAGTAATAGGCCAAGAGAGAAAGCTTTTGAGACGTCTCAAAAGTCGCAGCACGGGAAGGAGTTAGAAGAGTGAGTAACACTGTAACAGGCCAAGAGAGAAAGCATTGCAGCGTGTTGCTCGCCCCTTGCTTGACAAACCCTGTTCCCCTTCTCAAGCTCCCGCACTGCCGCCGGCAGCATTAGGTGAGTGAGCAGAGGGGCACGTGAGCGGGATGAGCATGGACGAGTGGCATGGCACGTGGAAGGCTGGTGGAAGAAACGGCTTTGGAAAGACTTTGGAAAGGCTGACACAAGGAAGAACAGCATGAGCAGCAAGTGCAATGACAGAGCACGGAACATGGGCGGTGGTGAAGCATCAGCAGGGCGGGTAACTGACGGTTGACCCTCCTCCTCCCTCTCTGCCGTTGCTGCCTTGCTGTCTTGCTGATGGAAGCTCACCTGCTCTGGCGTCTCCCCTGCGTCCATCACTCCCCCTGGCAGACTCAGCACATACGCCCCCACTGCATGCCGGTACTCTGGGTTATAGCAGAGAGGATGGAACGTGGACGAGGAAGAGTGGAAGGGGGAAGGGGAAGGAGGGGGATAGGTCAGTGGGTACGTGCATGTGCATGGGCATGGGCATGTGCATGTGCATGGGCATGTGCATAGGCATGGGCATGTGCATAGGCATGGGCATGTGCATAGGCATGGGCATGCGCATGTGTGTGTGCCTGTACAAGTGCATGGTTGCGTATTAAATGGGCACTACATTTTGTTGGTGTCCAACTGACCTTGATTCACAACTACCTTGCTGTCAACAGTCATGGCTACCTGATGGGTGCAGTGCGGTGTGTTGGAGGAACGAGGAGTGGGGGGTTGCGAAAGAACGGAGGGACACAGGAGAATGAAGGATGAGGAGGTGGGGAAGGGAGTGGGAAAGGCATGAGAGCTGAGGATACATCCCGTGTGCTCAACACTCTTATGGACGGAGGGACGCGGACAGTCTGACTGCATGCATCACCGGACTAAGGGGAAAAGGCAGGACAAGTCAAAGAACAAGTCAAAGGACAAGTCAAAGGACAAGTCACAGGACAAGTCGTAACGGGAAGGTAACACAACGGAACTAAGTGGTGGTGGAACAAAAAAGACAGGGCAAGTCGAAGGCGTGCTAGGATGATGAGTGATGAATCATAGTGCCATACCATATCATGCACCATCTCGACTCTCAACTCAACCATTTCACTGCACACACTCCCACGCGAGCAAACCCCAACCGCAAAGACCAGGAGACGCCAAAAAAAACAGAGCCTGCAGGAAGAGGGCGGTGAGATGAGATGAGACGAGGTGAGATGAGATGAGACGAGGTGAGATGAGATGAGACGAGATGCTTACCACAGCAACGGCAAGAGGGCGGGCAAACACTGTGAGGTAGGGAGAGGAGAGGCCGGAGGGGAGGGCGATAACGTCCCTGCGCACACTCTGCTCTGCGCGGGGAGAAGGGGAGGGAAGGGGGGAAGGAAAAGGCGGGAGGGCAGGGGGACGATGGGAGAGGTGGGTGAAGGAGGTAGATGGGAAGAAAGTTTTGGTGAGCGGTGGTGCGGGGTTTAGAGCGGTGGGGTTGCATGGAGGAGGAATGGTTTGCTTGAAAGAGGAATAGCCCTGCATCCAGCCCCACCACTCTCCACCGCTCACCTGAAAGTCTTTAAGAATGACTCAAAACCACTCTCCACCGCTCACCAGGAAGTCTTCAAGAATCACTTGTGAGTCCACTACACGCGGCACGGGCCACGCCGTTTGCTCCTCTTCCCCCCAAGACCAGCCGCCGTACTTTGTCTCCCTCTCCCGCTCCACCATCCCTCCTTCCGTCTCCCCCTCCTCCAACTCCCCATCCCTCTCTCCGGCTCTCCCTCTCTCGCTCCCTCCTCTCCCAGTCTCTTCTCTCTGCCTCTCTCCTCCCTCCATCTCATCCCGTCGCATTTCTGCGGAAAAGAAATCCGCTTGTTGGCTCCCCGCCTTCCGCTCCGCAGCGGACGCGAGTTCCGCGGAGCTCCCCGCGTCGTTATCGTCGTCCGCGCGTGCTGCACTGCAGACAACAAAAGCCGTTCGCGGAACCCGCCCAGCGATACGCTTCCGGAAACTGTTAAATCCGTCCTTCACGATTCGGTTTCCGTTGCAAGGGCTGCCCAAGCCTCCATGATTGGGCCGCGTGGAGTGGTAACCAGCAACAATGTTAGATCGCGAGGCGAGGCGTAACCTACAGGCTGGGGCGCGTCGCGAAGAAAAATCGCGGCGGAGGCATTGGTGGGACGACTCGGGAGTTAGGCGGTACGAGGGGTGAGGAAGACTAGTAGCCATTTTGGTGGGCGACAAAGAGACAGCAGCAAAGAGAGGTGAGCGGGAGGCATGCAAAAACCACTCTTTTGCAAAGGCCTCGATTACCTACTGTAATGCTTCGTACATACTTTTTTTTTCGTGACAAATGTTTGTAATGTTTAGATCAGAAGATTTGCTTCACATGAGCTAACTTCTTGGCTTCGGTTACTGGGACAGCTCCTCACAACAGAGAAATGTGTTGACAATATTAATGGCATTCTTACTGTTCTTACAAAACGAAGTTTTTATCTACAACAATAAAATCAGCAAAAGAAATCCACATCACCCACCAAGAATGAAAACAAGCTCACTCATACTTGCTAACAAACTTCAGTATTTATTCCTGAATCAGGCATCCAGCAGACGCTCATAATCCTCTATGGATTTGAACAGCTCCGAGAAATTACCCTTGCCGAACCCCCCACATCCTCCCTTCTGCACCAGAGTGCCATCTGGCCCTGGATACATGCACCCCACACGCTGTATGATCTCCAAGAACAGTGTGGGCCTGCCAAAGAGAGGCGGTAAGTGGTGAAGGGGGTGGACAGAGGGAAAGTGAGGAGTTGTAAGGGGTGGGGTGGGATTGTGGGGGAGAAGTGGAAACAGAGGGGGGAAAACAGGAACAGAGAAAGGAGGCTAGAAAGGATGGGAAGTAAGAAAACAATTATAACAGATTGCACACAGCACAGCACACCTTAATCATCCCGATGGTCCCCCAGCCCCAAGCACGCCCCCACCACTCCACCACCCTTTCCGCCTCTCACCTATCCCCCACAGGTCGCGTGAAAATCTGCAGCAGCACGCCTTGATCATCCCTATCCACCAGCACACCCAGCGTCTCACAATCCTTAATAAGCTTCTCTGACAGCCCGCTATCCGGCCCAATCCGCTTCGGCAGCTCCTTGTAGTAATTCGCGGATGGCCGCGGCATGAAGTCGAACCCTCCCAGCTCCGTCCGCGCGCGCATCTCTTGAAGCGTCGCGATGATATCCGTGCACGAGAGCGCGAGATGCTGCAATCCTGGCCCTTCATTGTGCTCCAGGTATGTTTGGATCTGCGATTTCCGCGGCGTGCCGAACGTCGGCTCGTTGATCGGAAACAAAACATTCTCCGCGTTATTCGCGAGCACCATCGAGTTCAGCCCGCTATCCAGCGTCCCCACGTCCGCCGCAACAAATTCCGCGAACTCATGAAACCCTGTGAAGTTTAGAATATGCCGAACGGTGTCAAGAAGCTTGGGAACGTTCCCCACGGCATGGTCGAGGCGGGTAAGGCCGTAGGAGGAAACGGCGTTGGAGGCGGGTGCGTAGTTGGGAAGGAAGGGGCCGGAGTAAGAGGCATGCTGGGTGACGTATCGTAGCACCACGTCGCCGTATAGAGCCACTTCTGCTATCGTCACGGACCCACCGTCCTTGCTGTAGTGGGAAAGTGCAGGAAAGAGGGTGAGGGTGGAAAGAGAGGTTAGAGTGAGGTGGAGGAGGAGGGACTGGGGAGAAAGAGGGGCGGGAGAGAGGGAGGGAAGAGTTGCGAGAAGAGGAGGTGGTGTTGGAGTTGATGGTTACAGGGTAAGAGGAGGGGGGACGGCCGCCAGGGAGGGGGGGAGGGGGGAGCGGAGAGGGGGAGGGGAAAGGGGAGCGGGAGCAGGAGGGGGTTGTGAGGGAGGAGGGAGGAGAGGGGAAAAAAAGATTCACGAGGCATGTCCATGTGTGACGGCTGGGGCTAGAAGCCCAGGGAAACGAATAGGTTCATTAGTTCCGAGATTCTTTCTCCCATGCAAGATGATTAAGTTGGTATCTGTTCGTATTCTTTCCAGCTTAATCAACCAGCTCAGTTCATGACTCTGGGCTTAGTTCATTCATCTCAACACTCTAAGTCCAGACCGAGAGCACTCGAACCCAAATAAAGACGCTCCAACGTCCCCACGCGGAACCCAGACACCTAGGGGACACTCATGACCTGAGCAATCGAATCCCCTTCCCCCCTATCCCCTTATCTATCCTCACCTGTCCACAAGCTTCGTCGGCGGCACCACGCCAGTCGCGCCGTTCGCCACGCTCGTCTCATACGCCGCCTGCGCGTCCGTCACTTTCACCCCCACGGCGCGCACCGCCAGCCCGTGCCGAGCGAAGAACTCCGACGCCTGCTGCCGATCAAACCAAGGCATCGGCGCGCCGTTCGTCGCCGGCGCCACCGCCGCCGCCGGCGTCGACCCCGCTGCGACGTCCCGCGCCGCGTGGTCGCCGTACGGCGCGGAGAAGACAAACACGAGGTCGTTCGATTTAAGGGCGTAGCTGCAGTAAGTCTGGTTACCCGTCGTTAGATCAGATTTCGCGACGAGCGGCATGCCGAGGCCCCATGAGAAGCGGCCGGACGTGCTCGTCGCGTCGCCGCACCAGAACTCCACGTGGTGGAAATCCAGCACCTCGAAACGGTCCGTCTTGGGGTTATGGCGCTTGAAGTTTGAGAAGCCAACCAGTTGGTCCGGCAGCGAGACTCCGCGCTCCGCCATGGCGAGAGAACAACGAGACGTCCGGGGAGAGGAGGTGGAGGAAGGCGGTGGTGACGGCGAGGGCGAACAACGGTGAGGAGATGAAACGAGTGGGAGAAGAGCGAGAGTGCGAAGGCGAAAGTTGGAGTGAGCGTGTGGCAGGTGTAACGACGTGAGGCGAGGCGAGCAGGAGCCTGCGGCTGAAGGAGACGAGGTAAGGCCGGCAAGTGAGAAACGCGCGAACTACAGATAAATCAAGCTTTGGCTGATATGAACCGAATCTGGAATCTTGAAGCTGCAGTTTGCGCGAATGCCAACTGATCGACCGAATTAGCTCAGAAATAGGCGTGAGTGTCTGCAGCAGATATGGAGATCCCTAAGGGCGCGTGTGGTCTGTTTAGAAGTTCAAAATAAAGTTCGAACTTTGGGTGGTTACCCTATTCGCTAATTTCGCGAAGGATGCTTCGCGAACCAAGCATTGTATGGGCTCTGCAAAAGTTCGAGTTTGAAATATGAACTTGACTCGAGTCGGAGGCGCGAACGTGCGTGCGCACGTTCATGCGAGCGTGTGTGATTTGAAGCACGTCCGAACAGCTGGCGAAACGGGCGAGCGCTTCGCCAGTGCATGAAGTTGCACAACGAAGACACCCCACAATTCGTGCACACAGTTGTAGCCACGTGTCCAGCATACAAGGTGTTGCCATGGGGGCTATTTGTACCCTGGTTACACACTCGGCGCGGAAGGTGAGTTGGAGCTCTAGGTCCTTGTAAACCGAGGCGCAAAATGTTGACGTGGGGTACCATCAAGACGAGCGAACCGGATAACCTATGATGTTGACGTGCGGCTCGGCTCGTTTTTACAAGTTCGAATGTCGGGGTTAGACCTTGTATGTGTGTGTGATTTTTTACAGTGTGGTAAGCCCGATGTTTGAACTTCGAAAGAAGGAAATTCGAACTTCTTTCGTTGTAAGTTCGAAACTAAAATTCGCCCTAAAAACAAAACTTTTACAAATTTCAAAGACCTTACGCGCCCTAATATGTTGACGCTGCTGGTGTTGCATGTACTGGTTCGGCTGCTTTGGCTGGCTCGGCAGACTGGTTCGGCTCGTAAATTTCCCAAGCACGCCTTCATCAAACCAGTCCCGGATCTCATGAACGCACAATCGCCCTCTTTCGCATATCTGTGTATTGAATGGTTGTCCATCGCGAAACATCTGCGGAAAAGAACTGGTCGAGCAATTTCGTTGTTCCACGCCCCTTAGGCGTGGCCTTTATGGGTCTCCTTGGCAGTTCAGCTCCGAACCAGACACCTGGCCCGGCTCGTCCAAACTAGAATACCAGTGACTGAGCGCCAGACCAAACTACATTTCGACATAGTCGAGACGGCTCTATATCTCGTAAGGGACACCGCATACGAAGGTAGACGACACGTGCCAACAGCTGGATGGCTTTCGATCACTTGGAGGATGATGTGGTTCACGCCCGAGCCTCTACCTGTTGTGCTTGGAGATCCCTCCATGCTGACGCATGGCCACGCTGTGGATTCCTGACGCTGTAGAAGGTTCACCGACAGCTGGGATTCGATGAAGCGCGAGACCTATGAAACACTTGCCGACAACCCCGATATAGAAATGTGCTGAACAAGATCGGCGCGTGTGATCTGGCAAAACTGTCGATGCTCGAACTCAAACCGCTTTGAACCGTTAATCAGTTGTACTTAACCGCGTTCAACCATTTGGTTTATATAACAGCTTTGGTATGTAAACATTTCCACTGAAACGAGAGCATTTGGCCGAGTGGTTAAGGCGTGTGCCTGCTAAGTACTTGGGCTCTGCCCGCGAGAGTTCGAAACTCTCAGTGCTCGAGATTGGCGCTTGCGTTTGAATGTTTGCTCTTTGTTTGCTCAACCCTTTAAAGCCCGCGTCCCAAAATGCGGGCCGCAAGGGTCAAGTTTTTAAAACTTGACGAAGTTGAGTGTCCAAGCTTTTGAAAGTCACGCACTTGCAATTTGGGACTTTCGAAGACAGATTCACTCACCAGGGGGAAAACCGAGGGTTGGCTGGGTCTCGCGAAAAAAACGAACCTAGACGAAATTGGAAACTCTCGCCAAAGCCCACACCAGAAAAACTCCCTCTGGTCAACTTTTAAAAGCATGAACAATTTGGGCTGCCGGCTTTAAGAGTGCAACGGAACTAGGTAGAGAGTGTAATGAGATAAAATTCATTACTGTAGAGTCTGCTCCTAGATAGGACAGCCCGAACACTTCGCGTCAGTTTGGGTTCGGCCCGAACCACATTCTGAGTTGCCCCGCACCAATCCCGACAATCCCAATCCATGCACGTCCCGATGCCCTTGCCTAGCACGGTTTCCGCCCTATAAATGCACGCTTTCTCTATTGTCATGATGTAGTCACAATACATTTTATAAAGTCTTCCTCTCACTCTGTTTAAAACAAGGCATAACACTTGGTATCAAAGCTACTTTCTTAACTCACTGCCCAGGGGTCCAGAAGTTGCGCGCTAGCCAGCTAGGATAACGCGTAGTTGCTCCTAGCGGCCATTAATTTTACAGGCGCTCCTTCGGCACCGACGGATCCTTGCCCTCGACAGTCGAGATTGGCCGTGACCTCCCCCCCCCCCCCCCCCCCCCCCCCCAAAGATGGTGGGCAGATGTGGCAGTCGCACATTAGTTAAGTACTGCTTTCATTTCTGTCAATCTCGCACTTCAGATTCTGTGTAGCGGCTAACGTCGACATTATCGTCGTCGCTGCACGGTCGAGATCATCGGAAGGAACGTGGTGTGCGTTGGCGTCACTTTAATGTCGTCAAATGCATACTAGATTTTTAGAAGTCTTTGGCTAGTAGGATCGTCGTCACTGTGCGCGAAAATTTTGGGTGGCTTCACGTGCGAAACAACAGCAGGCCGGGCAGGTCAGACGCATGGTGCTTTGCGTCGGAAAACGCAATAGCGAGGAGAGCCGGCATGACGATTGCTCGAAGAAAGCAGAGGTCTACCGTCGTCCCGCCCTGGTGTAGCGATGTTTGTGTTTTCGGCAGGAGCGGCACGGGGTGGGACGGAAGTTTTTTTTTAGACCACCGAAAAGTTCAGAAAAAGTTGCCTACTGTTAGGGTCACGTCTGCACCTGCAACAAAATCGTCGAAATTTTGGAGCAACAGCAGCAGCCAATACTATACTTCAAGCGGCACAAGACCCCCTGATAAAGGGCAGTTGTGCCGCCGACATGGCAGTATACCGGCGGGACAACAATTCGACACAGTGTTTAGTTCCGGAATTTTCGCAAGTGCTACTGGCTACAACATACGGAGTTGCGTCGAGTACTACTTCATCGAAAGAAATGGGTTTCGGAATTGCGAGAAAAACGACCAACGGGGAAATGCTTAAGCTGATGCCTAAAATTTTGCGGCTAAGCGGCGGTAGCCGGATGGGTACCACTACTTGCCGAGGTTTTCGAACGACTCACGTTCCTCACACCAGAAGGCTTCGAAGGCAAAATGTAAGACCTATTGGCCACTAGAAAAAGGTGGGGTACTGTGTTTAGCCCAGTGTTGACTAAATAGCGCGGGTATTGCGCAAGTTCGACAGCTCGGCGTACAAGAAAATTTCATGGGTGTGACACTATTTCGACCCCGACTAAACCGGACCATCGGCAACAATTACCCTTTTGAAAAAGTCGATGCTGAAGAAATTGGTGTAGCTGTCGGGGTTTCTCCTAATTCAACGGTCTACCCGACGACGGTTTAGCGGCAAAAACAGAGTTCCCGAAGCTGTTGTCAAACTCATATGCTATAGTCTGTGTAGGCTGTAGTGGGGTGGACAATATGGGGTACAACACTTTTAGGTTTTCCAACTTGTACCCACCTCCTTGCTAGTTCATTCATTCCTCATTTCTTCACATGGTATAGAGCA